AGTTGGCTTTCTTTAAGGAACAGCTTTTCACTTTTTGTTATTTATGTCTTTTATTTGTATTAGTGTTGACTCCTAATTTCATAAACCTCTTTTAATATGTAATTGTCCTAAAAAGTATAGGAAAAGAAATGCTATCTTTCTGTGTAAGATGAACCTTGCCTCTGTAACATTAATTAGACATATTGCAGGGCAAAGATGGAAGAGGGTTTCACTCTTTAAGAAAGTTCTTTTATTTGAAGAACTTTAATTGGATAAATTGACCTGGAATTGTGTGGTATTGGCCGATTGGGAAACTCTGGTTTTGGAAAGGTATCGGTTTGTGTGTGTCTTGGTACCAGGTGCCTCAAACTTTTCTGCACGTTGAGGAGAGAAATTCTACGTTTGCTTTACATTTTACCTTCTGTTTTTTTATTCCTGAGTTCTTTAGGGCAAAGAGAATTTTTGATGATACTGACCTTATGCCATCTGTTTGCATTAGCTTTCCCAGCTTGCTTCCTCAGCAAAGGTGTTAGAGGCATATTTGCCAAGTTTGTTAGAAAGCCTTAGCAATGTTCCATGGTGCACCTAAAAATAGGAATTAAAATAAGGTTACTTAGCATGAAAATGTTAGGTGGTTTTGGAGATTCTGGTCTCTACCTAACATCACTTAGTCAAATTAAAGAACAGAATTGAAAGTTTTTAAGTGTAATTTTCTATTTAAAAAAAGAAGGAAAAAAAGGCATTTCACAGTGTCTAAGTTAAGCACCCAGAGACCACTAATCTATTATCAGTAGTCAAAAGATATTCACACCCAGGGTTTCAAGCAACCTGTAGGACAGCTGAATTAAGCAGATAGTAAAATGCAAATACAAAAAAAGCTAAATTTGAACTGGCCTAAATACTGATGTGTGTTCTAATAGTATCTGTTGAGCCTTTACTATGCATCAGACATTGTTCTAAGTGCTCTACATTAAATCCTCATAATTCTGGGATCTTAGATGTTTCAGAAGAGGAAACAGATACACAGATAACTGATTTCCCTATGATCATTTATGAGGCAAAACTGGGATTAAACTCAGACATTTTTTTCTTAAGAATCCACAGAACCAACTAATTTTGGATGGCATTTGTACTTTATAATCAAAGTTATATATTTTTATAGCAGTTGTCTACTTGAATGAAGAACCTTCTGTGTTCTCTAGATAATGGGGAATCTGAAATACTGTGTCTCACTACAAAAACTAAAAATGTAGTGTTTCCCCCCCCAGGCATGTTAATCCAAATTGGGGTGAGAAGGGGAGGAGAAGGAAAAAGAAACATTTTTGTATTTTTTTTTAAGATTTTACTTTTTTATTTGAGAGAGAGAACACAAGTGGGGGGCAGAGGGAGAGGGAGAAGCAGACTCCCCACTGAGCAGGGAGCCTGACGCAGGGCTCCATCCCAGGACCCTGAGATCACGACCCAAGCCGAAGGCAGACGCTTAATCAACTGAGCCACCGAGGCGCCCCATTTTTGTATCATTTCTAACATGCAGTTCCAGGACTCTCCACAGAGTTCTGGGTTGGCTGATTAAAAGTAAATTTGTTTATTTAAACTTTTTGGAAACTAAACTAGGCTTAAGTGTCAAGTCCTACAGTAGGACTAGGGCCCAAAATGTAGTGTGGAAATCAAATGAATTGCAACATTCGAGTTGGTTTTCTTTCAAAAGGGAGCAGTTGATAATTTGTATGGTTTTGTGCATGTGCTATTAGTGTGTTTTTTTTTTTTTTAAAGGGAGGATGGAAATCTATACTTTCATATACATAGGCTGTCTCTAAGATGGAAAAGCATCTCTAATTGCTGGGGGGAGAGAGGTATTACTGGAAACATAGGTGGGTGACTTTTCATAGTATACCCTTTTGTACTGTTTGAATACTTGCCATATGTATGTAATAACTATTCAAAAAAATAAGTAACCCCTTTTCTTGGACCTGAGTTTATTGACTCCATATTCTTTTTAATTTATAATCAAAAAGTAGAAACTTTTTGAAGTTAAAAAAAATTTTTACTAGGAATTTCCAAGCATATAGCAGAACAGAATATCCCCAGCTTCAGTGGTAACAACATCTTGTCAATTGAGACTATAAAAAATGTAGCCAGAATTTGGATATTATTGTGTATTCTCTGAAAATAGCTGCAAGTTTGGAGACTCTTACATGTCCTCTGAGTTTATTAGTGGTTTATTGCACAACTTCTGTGGTAGATAGTTCCTATACCATCAGACTTTTATAATTGACTAAGAATTTTTTCTGGTTAGTTTGTGCTGTTTTGAAAATAAAACCTTTTTAAAAACATTGTTGCATTTTAAACGTCTTTATTTGTGCAGATATTAGTAGACATAGTTACCTAGTATAACCCTTTCATATGATCTGTTTTTTTTTTTAAAGATTTTATTTATTCATTTGAGAGAGAGAGAGAGAGCATGAGCGGAGAGAGAGGCAGAAGGAGAGAGAGAAGCAGGCTCCCTGCCGAGCCAGGAGCCCGATGTGGGGCTCCATCCCAGGACGTTGGGATCATGACCTGGGCCAAAGGCAGACGCTTAACCATCTGAGCCACCCAGTCGCCCCATATGATCTATTTTAAGGATGTACCTAAGCCAAAATTGCTTTCAGTGATGGTGTCTTGTCTTATTACTGTGTGTTTTGGGATGTTTCCCTTTTGAATATGTTGTAGGAAAATATGGGAAGAATTGGTGAGTGTTCTGAGCACTTTCACTGAAAAGTATCACTAGTAAGGAAAAAAATCTCACCGACGTTATTTGAAGAAGTGAAATCAAATACAACTTTCTGTTAACTGATAGGAAGAAGTTCTGTCACTTATCCTAACAACTGGGAGAAGCTTTTTAGGAAGGAGCAATTTCCTGTGTAGTAGTGTAAATGGGAATTACTTAAGTATGCTTTTTAAAATGTTTAAACATGTGGAATTGGTGAGAGCTTGACACTTGCCTCTTGTTTTTTAAATACAGCGTGTATGTCTATTTCACATGGAATATTTTGAATAGCACTAGTACATTCTTGGTAGAGAAGATCAAAAATATATATGCATAGCTTTCTTGGTAGAATGTGTAAATGAAGAATGAGAAAAGAATGTAAGATTATGTAGATTGCAAGGAGTGCAAGAACCCCACCCGTTTGTAACCAAATCTGCTTTTTCTGCAAATAAAACTGCCCTGAGGCTGAAGGTCAGTGCTAACTGTTGACAGCATGCTTTTTTGACTGCATTTATTTGGAGACCTACTCGGGAATAAGAAACAAAGTTTTCTTGATTTTCTTTTTTTTCTTCCTCTGCCGTCTTTCCTAAGTTTTCTTTTTTTATGGTTGTCTTGCACTTGCCTCTGAGGAATAATTTGGGATTCAATTAGTTACTATTTGACTAACACTATTAAGTTTTACTCTTCTTAACATTGTAGGACTTAAGCTGTGACAATTGAGCCTCAAAATTTGTCTTATGTGAATATTTGGTGTAGTGACTTAGAAACACAGAATTCTTATTTTACAGAATAGTTAAGAAGATAATGTGTTGCTTTTACACGTAGAGTTCTAGGTGATCTGGGAGACTTTGGAATTTTTTCTCCAAACTATTAGAAAGGTAACTGGATTAAATTTACAAGAGTTTGAGAACCGTCCACTCAGAAAAATAGATGTGTATACCTCTGAAACTAGATGGACAACTTGGCCTCTGGAAGGCCACCCACAGTCCCGTTATAAGTGGTTGGAGACCTCTTTTATTTATCGTCCTTCATTAGTTCTGGACCTAAAAGTTACTATAAAGTTAAATTCAGGAAGAAATGAAAATTAATAATTTATAAAGTTTTATTGTAACCAAATTTGTTATAAATTACTTACCTCATAGCTTGTATACTTGCCTTGCTTTGCTGTGTATACCTGAGTTTGTAAAGCCAGTTAATCTTCTATTTCATTACCATGTTTGTATTAAATAGTTAAACAATTGCTTGACTCCTTGCCCTGGTATTCAGTGTTACTGTAACTACACATTATAACTGGTGTGCTTTGCAGTCATTGAGGTATAAGAGGAAAGTGAAAGTTAAGTGCAGTCTCTTAATCTTTTTATTTTTTTTTAAAGATTTTATTTATTTGGCAGAGAGAGAGACAGAGGGAGAGGGGAACACAAGCAGGAGGAGTGGGAGAAGGAGAAGCAGGCTTCCCAGCGAGCAGGGAGCCCGATGTGAGCAGGGAGCCTGATGTGGGGCTCGATCCCCACACCCCAGGATCATGATCTGACGCATAAGACAGACGCTTAACGACTGAGCCACCCAAGTGCCCCCAGTGTCTTAATCTTATGTTGTATTTTATTCAGATCCTATCCTGGTTATAATTAAGTCCTATTAGCAGAATTTGACAGAAGAATTTAGATAAAATACAATTAACTTGGCTCAGCCAGTCCATAAGAAAGTGGTGGTCTCTGAGGAGGAGGGAAATTGGTATCTGGGACACTTGGGCAGAAGGAAGACTTGTGTGTTTCGTTTTGTTTTTTTTCTCCCTGTGCTTTTTCATATTTGTTTGTATTTTGTTCCATGTGAACTTAACTATTCTTTGGAGGAAAAAAAAATTAGTCTGGCCAAGGCTAATAAAACCTGCTGGTAACTTTTTAGTGGGACTTAATCTGTAATACTACATTTAGTCACTCAGAATATTAATGACCCACTAGCTCTTAGGTGTAGCTCAGTCCTTTACCCTTTTATGTACTTGTTCTGCCTCCTAGTTTTAATCCGAGTTACACATCTCTAGTTAAAACTATAAGGTTATAACAAAATAATTGAATGCCATATTTGTTGGAAGAACAGAAGGTCCATCATTTGGCTATCAATTGCCTCATTTGAATGAATGTGATGGAGTTGTCACTGTTGACCTGAAAGCATTAATTGTTAAATGAGGATTTGTAATGATGACAGTACATGAATGTCAAGTCTTTCTGATTCACTTTGTAACATGACTTACTATGTTTTTGTTTTTTTCCCCCAGCTCCAGAACCTGGGTATAAACCCAGCAAACATTGGCTTCAGTACCCTAACTATGGAGTCAGACAAATTCATCTGCATTAGAGAGAAAGTAGGAGAGCAGGCCCAGGTGGTAATCATTGATATGAATGACCCAAGTAATCCAATTCGAAGACCAATTTCAGCAGACAGCGCCATCATGAATCCAGCTAGCAAAGTAATTGCATTGAAAGGTATAAAAGATTGTGGGGATTTCTTTCTTTTTTCCCCCATGTATAATTTATTCAAATACAGTAATTAGGATTTACCTTTTCAGCATGTAGATTAAATTTGGTTAAATCTGCAAAGTTATTACTAAATTTGATTTTAACTGCTTTCACGACTTGGCATATATCTATGAAATGTCTTCCTTTCTCCTCACCGTAGACTATTTAGAAAAATTTTAAGTTTTAGATTAAATGAATTTAAATTTTATATCTGCTGTGTGATAAGACTGTGCTAAAAGTATAACTCCATATAGAGAAGACAAATTAGTGATTCATATTTGGAATAAAATATACTTTAATATTAGTACTTAAACATGGCAGGATTTTGTTATGAAGATAAACTTATATTTATGCTTTGCCTTTTTTATACTTGAGGTGTGTGTTTCATTTAGATTATCAAGTTCTAAAAATGTCTTGAATTGGGTGACTGGCTGGCTCAGTGGGTAGAACATACAACTCTTGATCTCAGGGTCATGAGTTCAAGCCCCACCACATTGCGTGTGGAGCCTACTTTAAAAAAAAAAAAAGTCTTAAATTTAACCTGATTGTTAGAAGTGTGTATATATGTAGGTGGATATTAAAGCTTTGGGATCAAGGGTGTTAGAGTTTATTCACATTAACTTTTTGGTTCTCACAGTAGGGAACTGTACAACCTATCAATCTAAGTTCAAAGAAACTCATACTGTCTGGAGCCTGTATTAATTTTTTTCCTTTGAACTATAGAGTGAGAATGTAACTGACCCTTTAAAACAGAAGTTTGTGAGAGGACTAGGTGACAAGCTGGCTGACTCTAAAAAGCATTTAATTGTCTGTATTTTGCTTTGTTTTTCTTCTTGGTAGTAGTAGGAGGAGTTCAGGTTCCTAGTAATTTCTTGATAAATGTGTGGGTGAGTTGTTAAAGGTGCTGAGGTTTTTAAACAGATTTTTCTTCACTTAATTTAAACTTTGTATTTAGTAGTAATACTGGTTGGAGATTAAATGCAGGGTTGGAGGCAAGCATAGTCAGATAACTATGTTACCATTACATATCCAAGATAGGAGTTGTTGATCTCATCTTAAGGAAAGATGGTCCAGCTTTCACCTAGGACCACATGTTTTACAGTAGCAAGCTTCTTGCTTCTGTTAAACAATACATGTATTATACTTTAAGGTATTAAGCTTCCTCCAGCCTCCTTAAAGAATTTAGATTGAACTGCTTAGCAGCTCTCACACCTCTCTATTAAAGGGCCATCGTTTTAATTTTCTCATAATTCTTTTCTGTTTTTAATGTTATTGTTATCTTATCACATTTCTTAATGCTTTCTTATGTGTGCAGATGGTGAGTTATTTTAAATTAGATTGTATTAGTTATTGTCCTGTTACATAAAAAGAATAAATTGCAAAGATTTTCAGAGTATTGTAATAATAGCGTTATAGATTTGTGCCTATATGTCTATATTATGGAGTTAAGCTGTCATCTTGCCCTCCTGTCCAAATCACCCTACATACATATACTCCAACCCCTTTTGTGTAGAAATAAATAAAAGTCTGTTAACGAGGGGCTGGGAAAGGCAGCAAAGGGAAGTAAGACATTCCCAAATACTGCTTCCCTCTGAAGCCAATTTTAAACCCTTCGATTCTTTTTATAGACAGGACTGTAACTAACAATTGTTCAAGTCCGGTTGTGGTTACATATTGTGTGGGATGGGAATAGCATTCTTTGTTTTAGGGAAGAAGTTTTTATACATGTGGTAAGAAGGGTCATGGTACAAAGCTGTGTGTTTTGTGTCCCATTCTGCCAACCCCCCACCCCCTTACCGTTTTTGTTTTTCAAGAGCCAGATTCTCAGTGGCTCAGGAATGGAGTTTTCTTTAGTCTCTAAGGACTAATGTGGATTAGCTAGCCTCGAGATCGCTTTGGGCTTTGACTTCTGTTAATTTAGACCAAATCACTTTTCATTCTGATGGATTTCAAATTATAAGTACAAGCCTTTGCATCTGACTCCGTGACCTCTTAACACTCAACGCAAATTTCATCCTCCCTTTACTGTTTGTTGTCTTCATTGGATGAAGCTTGAACTCTGTTCGCATCTCCAGCATATTAACAGCACCTGACACTGTCCTTTGTCTCCTTTTTTCCCAGCACCTCTGCCCTTCCCTTTGTATCTTAAACCAGTGGGATGTAGCAGGCACTTCTCTTATGTGCTTGGTACAAGGCAGAGTTGAAGTAGACCCTCCTCCAAAAAGGCAGTTTCCATAAGACTTGGTTGGATGGGGGATGACTGCCTTTTAAAAAGTAGACATTTCCCCCATGTGTTTGTATCAGATTTGCTTTGTTCTGTGTACCTACCAACTAACTTAGTTTATGCATAAACATTCTTAATTATCAGCATGAGGGCTACAACCTTGTTTTCCATCACTGTTCAAGTCTTCAGACTCATTTTCAGTTGGGATTTAGAATTCTATAGAAGTCATAGTATTTATTTAAAATGTCTTTAGTAGAGGTAATATAGTTTCGCTTCAGCTGTAGATATAGATTGTTGGCTTAGTCTCAGCTATCTCTTCAAAGGTTGCTGCCCTATCGGTGTGACTTCTGTAGTTGGTTTTTAGTCTCCTGATAGAACCATTTTGTTTTGAAGTTACAGATCTTGTTACAGAGAGTCTAGCTAGATAATAATTTATCCTGAGCTTTGCTTTCCTAATGATTCATAATTCTTAATTTTGTTTTTAGCTGGGAAAACTCTTCAGATATTTAACATTGAAATGAAAAGTAAAATGAAGGCCCATACCATGACTGATGATGTCACCTTCTGGAAATGGATCTCTTTGAATACGGTTGCTCTTGTTACGGATAATGCAGTTTATCATTGGAGTATGGAAGGAGAGTCTCAGCCAGTGAAAATGTTTGATCGCCATTCTAGCCTTGCAGGGTGCCAGATTATCAATTATCGTACAGATGCAAAGCAAAAGTGGTTACTTCTGACTGGCATATCTGCACAGGTAACATTTTTCTATATGTTTAATAAAAGGTATAGAGAATGCAATTTATTTTGAAATTATGTCTTCTCTGTTTAATCCTGGTGAATCAGACTTATTTATTTATTTTTAAAGATTTTATTTATTTATTTGACAGAGACATCGAGAGAGGGAACACAAGCAGGGGGAGAGGGTGAGGGAGAGAGGGAGAAGCAGACCTCCCACCGAGCAGGGAGCCTGATGCGGGGCTCCATCCCAGGACCCTGGGATCATGACCTGAGCTGAAGGCAGACGCTTAATAATGGAGCCACCCAGGAGCCCCGAATCAGACTTAATTTTGAAAGTCTTTTTTAAGAAATAAAGGTTGCTAGCTTAATGGCTTTATACTGATGTACATTTTCAGAATACTCTTTTACCAATTGATTTTTTTTTTCAAGATAATTGTAAAGAGGTGGTTGTTTTTGAGGCACATTTTAAATATTCATGTTAAGCTTTAATAAGATAATGTTGGAGCCAGATTTTAAATTAAGAGGTATCAAATCTACATTGAGAGACTAAATTTATAAAGAATTACAAATCCTGCTAAAGGTGATATGAAGCATTTTAATTATTTTACTGGTTGATGAATCTGGGAGTTATAGATTCATTGGGTCCCCAAACTTCGTTCTCTTTGATCCTTTGTAGCAAAATCGTGTGGTGGGAGCTATGCAGTTATATTCTGTAGATAGGAAAGTGTCTCAGCCCATTGAAGGACATGCGGCTAGTTTCGCGCAATTTAAGATGGAAGGAAATGCAGAAGAATCAACGTTATTTTGTTTTGCAGTACGGGGTCAAGCTGGAGGGAAGGTAAGTTTTCGCTTTGGAAATTATTGAGAACTTGTCTTTGTCTCTCTTTTAATTTAATTAGTCCTCTAATTTCAAATAGTCTTCTCCCTTCATTAATTTATTTTTAATATTCAGATTTGAGGTGACTTAGTTTGTTTAAATTCTGTTTCTAGTGATACTTATCTAAAATAAAATTTTCTTATGATCCTTGTCTAAAATGAATAATGTTCTTTAACAACTTTTTATATCAGCTGTTTATAGTGACACTTTATTTTGCTTGTCTTTACCAAAGGCCTTAATTTGATGTTTTTCAACTTTGCTACAATGTACATTTGTTTGCCTTATATCTAGAGAGTCTGACTCAGTAAGTGGAGCCCATAACCTATATTTTAAATGCCCTAGGTGACTAGATAGATGTGGACCACAATTTGAGTAATACCATCTTACATAGCTATAGTACAGTAGAAAAACCAGAAACTGACATTGGTACATTTGTATCATTCTGTGTCATTTAACAGGAGTAGATTCGTGATATATACTGTTCTATAACCACAGATTCCCCCCAGCTGTTCCTTTATATAAGTCACACCCAATTGCTCCCCTCTTCCCCAATGTCCTCCCCTCTTCCCCAGTGTCTCTAACTCCTAACTACTACTAATACTCTCCATTTGTATAATATTGTCACTTCAAGAATTCTATATAAATAGAACTGTATAGCATGTGACCCTTTGAGATTGGCATTTTTTTTCACTTGGCATAATGTCCACGAGAATTTTTTTTTTTTATTATTATTACTACTGAGGAGTATTCCATGGTATAGTTGTATTGTAGTTTAATATTCACCTATTTTAGAACATTTGGGTTGTTTCCAGTCTGGGGCTACAAATAAAGCTGCTGTGATCAACTGCTGAATGAGAGAGATTTGTATCAATTTTATTTTCTTTTGAACAGTTACATATCATTGAAGTTGGCACACCCCCTACAGGAAACCAGCCCTTTCCAAAGAAGGCAGTGGATGTTTTCTTCCCTCCAGAAGCACAAAATGACTTTCCTGTTGCAATGCAGGTATTTTAAGCAAAACAAATGGACTTTTAAAATCTCTCCTGATAACAAAATTAATACCAAAACTACTATTCACAGTCAATATAATTTAGTAGTGCTTAGAAAAATACCCTTTATTCAGTAGTAAAGTTTATTAGTGAAACTTCGTAAAGAAATATTCTTAGTTTTCATGTAATGCATAAACTGGGTTATCCTAAGTTCAAAATTATATTTTCCCTTTTATACATTTTATCCATATTCTTTGTTTGCTGTGAGAGCTTGGGATAGTAAATGGCTATAAAAATGAGGAAACCATATGTATTAATTTTTTCACATAAACCTCTTGTCAAAGTTCTAGAATTTAGCACCTCTCAAATGAATTGAATTTTCTCTTTGTAGATTCATGATTTTACTGAAATGTTGATTTTCTTTATACAGATCAGTGAAAAGCATGATGTAGTGTTCTTGATTACTAAGTATGGTTATATCCACCTCTATGATCTTGAGACTGGTACCTGTATCTACATGAACAGAATCAGTGGAGAAACAATCTTTGTTACTGCACCTCATGAAGCCACAGCTGGAATAATTGGAGTAAACAGAAAGGGACAAGTAAGGAAATCTCGAAACAAATTAAGCAGTGAAATAACACTACTGTTAACTTTTCTTTTTCTTCCCAAAAAGGAAATGGTTTGGTTGTCAGAAATAATATATACATAAAAATACAGAAGCATATGATAAAAAAAAGTCTCTTTTTGATCCTGCCTCAGAGAAGAAGCTGTTTAACATATAGCCACTTAGGATTGTGTTTATCTGTCTTCATTGTCAAAAGAAATGACTCTTGGGGTGCCTGGGTGGCTCAGTCTGTTAAGTGTCCAGCTCATGATTTCAGCTCAGGTCCATCTCATGTGTTGTGGGATCCAAGGATCGAGTTGGGCTCTGCACTCAGCAGGGAGTCTCCTTGAAGAGTCTTTTCCTCCACCCTTTTCCCCCTCTCAAATAAATAAATAAATCTTGAAAAAAAAATGACTCTACATGCAAAGAAGCTATTAGGGTCACATTTGACAGGTGGTATGCTTTTTCTTTTTTTTTTCTTGCTAAGACAGTTAACTACTAGAGAATTCTTCCTACATCTCTTTTCCTAACTCTTTAATTATTATTAAATATTTAATGTTGGAAAGTGATATTTTATAATAGCTATTGCGGGGTACCTGGAAAGTTATCCAATTAGATAGGGAAAATATTAGCTATTCCGAAATTGTCGGAAGTGATCCTTTTTCTGTTTTCTTAGTATTTTAGCATGATCAGAAATATTCCACCCGGAGGTTATCTTATTTTCTAAAAAATGGTTTAAAATTTCAAGCAGTACTGTTACTGGTCTTACCTTTTGCGAGTTTTTCTTCGAATTAGTATTTTTCCCGATAGTAAGCAGAGGAAGTAGATAGGGGTTTTTTCCCCCCCTTTGTTCTGTTAATTTCTGGAAAGTGGTATGTATATAAAGAGACTAATACTATAGAGAAAGGGTCTTTCCCTGTCTATCCATTCCCTGTCTCATCTCCACACCTGGTTAGGTGCTTCTGCTTTATACCCTTAGAATATAGGTAGCCCTCATTTACATCTATCACAATGAATTACAGTTGCTTGTTTAACTGCTTCAGTCACTATTCTTCATTAGGAAAGGGGCTTTTCCTTTTAATTGTATTTCTGTACCAGTCAGTGTCTTGGCACTAAAGCAACTTTAAAAATTAAGTAGCTTTCAGTTGTATGGGTCTCTCTCGGAAAAATCAGGAATGAATTGGCCTTTAGGTGAACTAGGTTAGTGATAATTATGAAGTTGTTAAAGACTTCCTCATTTCTGCTACTGTGCTGATATTTTTAAGGTAATAAAGTATCTGGGAAAATTTCACCATATATATTTGCCGTTCATAACTCTGATTCTGAGAATTTATTGATTATTCTCCTTCCCAAGAAATTTTCTGTGCCAGTTGCTTTGAGTAGGGAGATGGGTGTTTATAGTGACCTTAGGCCTCAAGGCATTTCCTTTGGTCTTTGATCAAAGTCAATTGCAGCTGGACATATGCCCTGAAGGAATGAGTTTGTGGTTTCTATTGGTTTGAAAATCAAAAGCTATCAAGAGAAAATTATTGCCAATATCTAACTTAAATTCTGAACTTGGTAGAACTGAGTGAGTACTTCAGAGGTAGAGGAACCTTCTCTGTCCCTTATAGATTTTGAGTACTGGTTGCTAGAAATCTGCTAGAACAGTCTAAAATAGGATAAAGATGAATCTGTGGATTTGGTGTTTGGGGAAGACAAAGGTGTAGCAATCATTAGGAAGCTTTCAGGCAGTGTAATTGGAACTGGATTTGTTCATCTTCTTTATTTTTCCTGGGAACTAAGCACTAAATTAAGGGTGAGGGTCTGGAATGCTTTAAATGACTGTAAAGAACAAGTAATTACTTTTCTTCCTTTTAATGTCTTAATTTGTAGTAGAATGACATGAGGCAACAGGATAGCCTAAGCTTTGGGGATGCCGGAGGGGGTCTGGCCTGTAAAAGTTAAAGCATTTGGAAGTTAGAATTTCTTCATTTTTCTCAAAAGGAAAAATAGAATAGGCAGGGTACACTGTTACCTATCTCTTTGATTATTGAGTTCTCAGATTGTATTGATTCTTGTTAGTACTGGGACAGAAATTTCCCATTTTCATTTAACAAATATCAAGCATTTATTTCAGGCAAAACGCTGGTGCTAATAATGCAACTAAGGAAAGATACGTCCCTGTCCTTAGTGGAATAGTGACTGAGAAACAGATGAGAAATTATATGAGAAGTGCTGTTGGGATAGTATAAGTAGTTTGTAAGCTGTGGTGTATAACCAGCTCTGGTGCTGGGGAGAGGAATGGATATGTAGATGGTGAAGTGACGGCTCCCTTGCCTCACGTCCATTGATAGTAGTTTAGATGTTAGGCAAGTAGGGCATCATTCTGTGACAGTGATTTTTTTTTTTTTTTTTTTTAGGAGGAGAAAGGGTAAGTAACTGTTCTCCAAATAAAAAGCAGTTAGAAAGTTTTCTTTACTGATGGCTACATTTATTAAGCTCCTACTGCATACATTGCAGTATTTTAGGTGCATGAGGATTCCGTGATCCCTCCCCTCATTGAATATATAATCTGGCCTCTAGGAGTATAAATGTAATTAAAATTACTGAAAATCCTTGTTAAAAAAAAAAATCCTAGAGTTAAAAGGCGTATACCTTAAACTTCTTCCAGGTGAGCCCTATATTTCATTTAGATTGCAGATCTTTTTCATAGTCCTGTAGATCGTCCAGACTCTCTCCTAAGAATCAATAAGCCATATGGAGAGCTGCCTTTCAGAGCTCAACTAAATGGGAGAGCCTTAATCTTTGATATTAACCATGATAAGAATGAATGGATGATAGCAAAGCAATTAGTTTGGACAGTATGAAGATAGTATGAAGTAGGTGGTATATTATATGGCCATATTTTAAGAATCCCAAAATGGCTTAGCAGCCCTTAGTCTTCTTGCTCCTGGGGTGTTTTTTTTTTCCCCCGCTTCTGAGAGCGAGCGAGCATGTGTGTGCAGGAGTGGAGGGGGAGGGAGAGAGAGAGAATGACTCTGAAAGCAGCCTCTACACTTCAGCACGGAGTCCAGTGCGGGGCTCGATCCCACGACCCTGAGATCATGACCTGAGCTGAAATCAAGAGTCAGATGCTTAACTGACTGAGCCACCCAAGTGCCCCTAAATTTTTAAAATTATTTTACGGCAAAAAGAATGCAATTGTCACAATTTCATTACCTTTATGATTCAGTAGTAAACAGCTCTAAACAAATTTGGTATCATTGATATCCAAATGAATACATTGCAGCTATTCATTAATCTTTAAATTTCAGGTTCTGTCAGTATGTGTGGAAGAAGAAAACATAATTCCTTATATCACCAACGTCCTACAAAATCCTGATTTGGCTCTGAGAATGGCTGTACGTAACAACTTAGCTGGTGCTGAAGAACTCTTTGCCCGGAAATTTAATGCTCTTTTTGCCCAGGGAAATTACTCAGAGGCAGCAAAGGTAGCTGCTAATGCACCAAAGGTAAATAGTTACGGAAATGAAGTTGCCATGATTGGATTAATGTTAATATGTTCTATTTCTAATAATGTTAGAAGTGGAACCAACTCTTCACAGAGAAACTAACCCTTTTTAGGTTGCATTTTCCTGTAGTATAAGTTACTTGACAGTGCCTCTAGACTTGGTTAGCTTTTTAAAACTCAGTGTCAGAAGATTATGTAGAATCTAGAATCTAGCAAGTTATGATTTACATATATGTAATAATGTTCAGTTACTTAGTTACAACACTGTTTACCCTCATCAATGATAACTACTGATTTTATTTCTAAACTTGAAAATTAAATTCTGTTTAGTTTATGGTAAGAAGATTTGTCTGAAATTTAGCAGAATTTATTCTCATCACCTTAGTATTACGTTGGACTGAATTAACACCCTACACCCTGATCCGTTATTTTGAAGTTTGCACTTAATGTGAACCTGGAACAAAAGCTAGCCATAATTACTTTACGATTATGCTATTCTCTTACACACTGGCATTGTAATTGGATTGGTATATTTCTGATTCTGAATAATCTCATAACCTTGAACCAGACATGTAACATTGAATCTTTGCTAGTTAGTGTATGCAAGATTTGAAATTTGTTATATTGGTAGATGAAATCATGCTTTTAAGATTGACCCAAGAGATCCTTGGAGTTATTAGGGTGATGTTGGATCACCTTTAAAAGGAGTCTTTCACATTTCCTTTTCTTAAAGGGAATCCTTCGTACCCCAGACACCATCCGTCGGTTCCAGAGTGTCCCAGCCCAGCCAGGTCAAACTTCTCCTCTACTTCAGTACTTTGGAATCCTTTTGGACCAGGGTCAGCTAAACAAATATGAATCCCTAGAACTGTGTAGGCCTGTACTTCAGCAAGGGCGGAAACAGCTTTTGGAGAAATGGTTAAAAGAAGATAAGGTATATTGACTTATGTTAACATACTTTTGCTTTGATTGTATTTAAATACCGTGGTAGTAAGTTAGAAACATTTGGGCTGCACCAAAATGTCCATTATTTACTGCTTGTAGGAATACAACAAGGACAGATTGTATGAGATGCAGTAACTTACTACCTTTTGAGAATGTATTTATTTTTTATGGCCTGTTGAGATGGGGTATCTTTGTTCAGTTTTTTGAATGGAATCCAGGATTCTTGCTTGGTGCTTAAAACTACTAACATGGAAGCAAATTGCTATCCTTTTGCTTTAGGAAAAGTTTGGTGTGAGACGCTTACTTGAGTATACATTCATATTTGTCAACATATGTAACACTCATTTGGACATAGGGTATATTCCTGTATCTCACATCCCACACTTGATACCGCATCTTTTAGAAATTCCCAGGTATTATCAGAATTGTTGTATTTGCTACTAGTAACAAGTGTTAGGATGTGCAAGGGAAACATAAAATGTTGGGTCATTGATAGGATACAAGACATCAAGGCTGTCTAATTAGCAGTGATAGGGATTCCCAAAGTGATTTCACAGAATGTTAATTGGCGTTACATGGAAAAATATTTAACTAGTTTCTTGAAATTTTTTTAATGTGCGTCTTTAAAATCTGTTCTTAACCGGCTTTCTTTACTGTAGGGTTTTCTTATGCTTTTTATACAGAGCAGCTAATAGTACTGTGTTTCTTAGAGCACATTATGGAAAATTTTGCTTATTTGTAAGGCAACTAACAAGTTTAAACAGTTCCTTGGTGGCATTATTCCTTTCATACCACCATAAAAAGCCTTTTTTGACAAAGTAGTAATAGTGAATTACCCTAGTGTATGCCACTGTCAAGAATTGAGGTGGTACTGTTTAAAATACTCTTGAGTAGTGAATAACTTTTAGTATTATTATACCTTTCAGTTTTAGTGTATATTGATAATATTTTTACATTACTAATTCTGAGTCCTTGTTTCTTGACCCAGCTTCTGGCAGTCTTATAGGATACTGGAGAATAGTGCTTCAGAGTTGGGGATGCTTGGACAGGAATCTCTGCTGAAGAATAGTTACTAGCCACACTAGCGAGTATTTGAGGTCCGTCCTAATTGTTTAAGTTAAGGGAGGATGGGAATAGCCAAAGTAACTGAGTTGACCTGTATAGCTGTGTGAAAGCTTTTTGGATATCATTACCTTTTTTTGTGAATGTTCATATGGGATTGATTTATGGTAAAAGGGACACACTGGTCAACTCTATACTAGTTAGCATGTTCAGTTAAGAGGTATAGACTCTGGTAGAACTTTTAACCCTTTAGTTATAAATGCTGTTTTCTGACAACCATTAAAAGTAGAAAATCAACTCTAGTATATAAATCAAAACTCTTAAGGAAGCTGTTTTCCAGTTTGGGCAGCTGACTAACTCGGGTTGAATAGTGCAAAGGAGGGTATCTGCTTGTATACCACCTAAAAATTGTAAAGTTTTAATCTCTGACCTTTGAAAATTAGTATGTTCTGCTTTGTGACCTTAGATCTAAAAGTCAGAATGATAATGGAGCTTAGATCCTTTAGACAAATCATACCTTAATTTTAAGAAGGGTCCTTAGGGTAAGCCTCCTCTGGCTCCTTAAATAAAAAATTTTCATTTGATAACATTACATTAAAAATTGAATTCTTTTTTGAAAAATTGGGGCCATGTGGATCTGATGATCTGAATATTCATAATAGATAGAAGTACAGGATTCTGCTTTTTAAGTACCTCCTTTCCTAACAAAGTAGTTGGTTGTATCTATAAATATAAAGTCTTGGTGGGCTTTTTATCCTTAAGTAGGATGTGTGGAGAATTCTACTGAGACAGTGCTGTGAATACAAGATCAAGAGTCTTTACTAACCACAACTCTTGCATATTTATTATATATTCTGGGACAATTGAGTAAGTGCCTGTCATATTATTTATAGTGGAAGTAATACCAACTGCTCATTTATAAAATAGCTCATGGATTACTAAACAATCTCTTTTTCCCTTGGACAGCTGGAATGTTCAGAAGAACTGGGTGACCTTGTGAAATCTGTGGACCCTACATTGGCACTTAGTGTGTACCTGCGGGCTAATGTCCCAAATAAAGTCATTCAGTGCTTTGCAGAAACAGGTCAAGTCCAGAAGATTGTTTTATATGCTAAAAAAGTGAGTTCAGTGAAATAGGTTCTCAATATACGTTCATTAAAACATTGAGAAACTCACCTATAGGAATGGTCAGTAAGTTTAATAGTGAATTTCTTTAAATTTTGATTTACTTGAAAAAGTATAAAAACCCTATTATCTCTCTCACATATAGAATTACACTTATTCCAAAATGACATGTGGGAGCACCTGGCTGACTCATTTGGTAGACATGAGACTCTTATTTATTTAAAGATACTATTTATTTATTTTATTTATATTATTTATTTATTTGACAGAGTGAGACAGTGAGAGAGGGAACACAAACAGGAGTGGGAGAGGGAGAAGCAGGCTTCCCACTGAGCAGGGATCCCGATGTGGGGCTTGATCCCAGGACTCTGGGACCATGACCTGAGCCGAAGGCAGACGCTTAACAACTGAGCCACCCAGGCGCCCCTAGACATGAGACTCTTAATCTTGGGGTCAAGTTTGAGCCCCACATTGGGTAGAGAGATTTCTTAAAAAAAAAAAAAAAAAAAAAAGGAGGCACTCTAGCTTCTCAGAATTTAAGATGTCAGGGGCCTATTTACCTTTTAGAAGAAACTTTGAAATATTCATTGAAAATGCGTAAGTCAGTTATAAAAATTTATAGCTTTCCATTCAAATATGTTATCACCAAGGTGTCTGTTTGCCAATATAAACCAAGGTCAAATTGAGCATGTTAAAACTGAATTTGTACTTGCAGTAGTTCTATATTAGCAAAAATCTGTTGTAGAAAAATCCTTTAAATGATATAAAAATGAAACTTTGCAGTAAAGTTGCAAATTTTTGTCTATTTTAGGTTGGATATACTCCAGACTGGATATTTCTGCTGAGAAATGTCATGCGTATCAGTCCAGATCAGGGACAGCAGTTTGCCCAAATGTTAGTTCAGGATGAAGAACCTCTTGCTGATATCACACAGGTAAAGGCATTAAAATGTATTCTTTCTGTAGAGGTTGATTTAAAAAGTGAATGGGGTGGATCTGGGTTTAAACAGCTTTGGAGAAGAATGGGTTAACCTTTCAATTTTTAGAAATTAGAGCTGTGTCTGTCTACATGGATAAACCTCAAGTGTATTAAAAAAAAAAACCCAAGTTGCAGAAGAATGGACAGGAAAATACCACCTACATACAGTTTTAAAACACGTAAAACAAACAACCATCTTGTTTAGAGATATATATACATGAAAAATATGGGAATAATAGAAAGGATGGTTGCTGCCATTGGGTGAAGGAAGAGATGCATATAGGAAGTGGGACCACAGACTCCTTCATATTTTGTATATTTTAAATAGTTCATCAGAATTTTAAAACTCTTGTTTTAATTGTATTCTGCTATTATATATAGTACCTTAAAATATTTTTTTTTTACCAGAACTAAAAAGAACTGCAGAAGACAAAAATTTATTCTTAAATTATGAAGTTAAATTGTACAGATGATATTTAAATCTGGGATTAGGTCTGGCAGTTTTTTTATATGTAAACTGATATTTAATTTCCATCTCATTTACAAATTGTCAACAGTATTGTAAAGCAAGTTTTAAACATCTTAAAACAATTCTCTTTAAATCCTTTTTTTCCAGATTGTAGATGTCTTTATGGAATACAATCTAATTCAACAGTGTACAGCATTCTTGCTTGATGCCCTGAAGAATAATCGCCCATCTGAAGGTCCTTTACAGACACGGTTGCTTGAGATGAACCTCATGCATGCGCCTCAAGTACGTTTTTCTTGCTTTTTAGGCATGTTTCCACGTTCTAGTAGTTATTGAGAGCTTCTTAGATTAAGCTGTTTGAAGCTACTATGATGGCCTTTACTTTCTCCTTTATTCACTATTGAATAGTATGTAATTTGGATATAGAATTATATAAATGGGATATAAAATAAATCTGTCCTATTTGTGGTCTTATAGGTTGCAGATGCTATTCTAGGGAATCAGATGTTCACGCATTATGACCGGGCTCATATCGCTCAGCTGTGTGAAAAGGCTGGTCTGCTGCAGCGTGCTTTAGAACACTTCACTGATTTATATGACATAAAGCGTGCAGTTGTTCACACCCATCTTCTTAACCCTGAGGTATTGTAGTCTCTTACCTAACAGATGACGATATGATTGATTGGTATACTGAAAATGTGTGTGTAGTACTGATAATTTCATTCCATCATTCGGTTCAATATTACTTCATTTATGTATTTATTTACCTGTTTATTTTGTCTTCTAGTGGTTAGTGAATTACTTTGGGTCCTTATCAGTAGAAGACTCTCTAGAATGCCTCAGGGCCATGCTGTCTGCCAATATTCGTCAGAATCTGCAGATCTGTGTTCAGGTGGCTTCGAAGTATCATGAACAACTGTCAACTCAATCTCTGATTGAACTTTTTGAATCTTTTAAGAGTTTTGAAGGTAATTAAGAGTTTGAATTTTTTTAATTAAGAGAGCCAAGAGGGGTATTATGATCTTGTCCTGTTGGAAATTCTGTCTTTCTACAAGCTAATTTTATGGCACAATTTGAGTTTTATTTAATAAATGTCAACTCTTATGTCGGGTTCTAGAGATGTGTAGTGAATGAGACTGTCAGCATGGATGTTTTATAGATGAATTAAAGGCAGAATTTTAAGACACAAACATATGTTGTAGCTTTGTCATAATTGTATAAAATGAAAATACTAACAGTTGGGTATAATAAGATTTCACACTTCTGTTGTCTGACTCTTAAAATGGCAAATGTTTCTAGCCAAGGACATTTTGTGACTTGTCACTATACAGTAGCTTTTCTCTACCTTTTCACTTTAGATAATTTGGGGTTTTTTACACTATAGATAATTTGGGCTGAATAATTCGGTTTGGGGGTGGGTTGTCATGTGCATGCAGGATATTTAGCAGCATCCCTGGCTTCTCCCTCTAGATGCCCGTAGCAGCTAAAACAGTTGTGATCACCAAAAGTGTCTCCAGGCATTGCCAAATGTCTGTCTCCTGGGAAGAAAATCACCCCATGTGAGAATTACTGCTACACTGAGTATCAGTGTAATCAGTGTTGGATGATGCTTAGGTTTATTAGCTAAACTTATGGTCCCCAGTCGTCTTTTTTCCTTTTTTTGTCCTATTGTCCTCTAGACAGAAAGAATAAGAATAATTTTCTCAGTTCCCATCTATTAACTATGTACTAAATTGATTCTGTTCATTCAAGTATAGTAGCCACTAATGACATGTAGCTATATATAAATTTAAAGTAATTAAAATTGAATACAATTAAAATTTTAGTTCTGTAGCCACAGTTCAGGTGCATATGGTTAGTGGCTACCGTATTGGACAGTGCAGATACAGAACATTTTTATCATCACGGAACGTTCTGTTGGACAGCATTGCACTAAATTCTTTTCAAACCACTTTTGTATTTTTCCTATTAACTACATATAGGAAAACCTCCTATAAGGGACTTCATTTAAAATTTCTCATATGGAACATGGTATGATTTCATTTAAAATTTCTCATATGGAACATGGTGTGATTAGCTTTAGTATTAGGTAGCTACCTCCTAACTACTTCTCAGCTACTAGAAAACATTGACTTGTCTGTTCTGTAGGGATTAAAATGAATATTCATTTATTGAACTGATTACTGGATCAATTAGTATTCCTACTGAGTTTTTGAGCAACCCAGTTTTTATTTGGGGCTATTCAGTATTAACGGTTTTTAAATTAGCAGTATAATTGACATGTTTCTTTTAATTGCTTACATATTTTTCAGTTCTTTCATTTTCAAAGGTGCACCTATGCTTAATTTCAATTACTTGTCTCTTTAAGGTCTCTTTTATTTTTTGGGATCCATTGTTAACTTTAGTCAGGACCCAGATGTGCACTTTAAGTATATTCAGGCAGCTTGCAAGACTGGGCAGATCAAAGAAGTAGAAAGAATCTGCAGAGAAAGCAACTGCTATGATCCTGAGCGAGTCAAGAATTTTCTCAAGGTAAGTGGTTTTGAGTAATGCACTTTCTGGCTGGGTTGAAGATCAGCAGTTTTACACAGGTTTCATCATAGTTTTAAAATATTTGTTTTCCCTGGGGCGCCTGTGTGGCTCGGATGGTTAAGCGTCTGCCTTCGGCTCAGGTCATGATCCCAGGGTCCTGGGATCGAGCCCTGCGTCGGGCTGCCTGCTCAGTGGGAAGTCTCCTTCTCCCTCTCTCTCTGCCTCTCTCCCCTATTCATGCATGTGCTCTCTCTCTGTCTCAAATGAATAAATTTAAAAAAATACTGTTTTTCCTAAATGGGAAATTCTTATCATTCTCAAATTATGTGCTGAATTATTTCTTCGAAACTTAATACTCTGGTTTCCTTTGAAATAAGGAAGGGAATTGGTAAGTGATACTTAAGAACAAACATCTCTTTAAAAGAAGAAAAAAATAGCACTATGTCAAAAGAATTTCCTTCCACTTGAAATTTGGAAGAAAAATTTTGAAAAGTGGTTGGAGATTCTCAATGTCACTTTAGAATTTCAGGAATGCTCCTATTAAAGATTAAGATCAGTTTGCCCTCAGTGTCCTTTTCAGGAGTCTCTATTTATATACAAAGGTTTTGTTATCTAAAGGGCAGGTTTCTCTCTCATCAAATTAGCTTTTCTCTAGAAACTAAATATTAATCGTGTATAATTCACTAAACTGAATATAAGATCTAACAAAAAACCCCCCTCAGCTTTGCGATACTAGTTATAGAGAACTGCCTGTATTGCAGTGAAGAGTAATGGTTTAAAGAATTTTAGCTCATCAGAACATACCTAAGGGATGTTTACTTAACTTAAGCCTTATTCTCATATCTAGCAGTTATACTATGAGAAAAAAATTAAAGCTTTAAAATTGGCAGTTGTCGATAAAAATCAGGTAAACTATAGAACACTTAGATTACCCCTTAAAAATATATGTATTTGTATTTTGCATTTAAATTATATATATGAATATATATATATATATGAAATGATTCTGGAGACTATATATAAAGTTCTTAAGTATTTTTTGTCTTTTGGAAGAATTTTACCTTGAAACTAAAACCAAAATGATTATTTTGTAATTCAATAGAAAAAATGGGCTTTTCCTGCTCCTATGCTGTATCTAAAATAACATAGATTATCTAAATCTATAGTTTTATTAGCTGTTTGCTCTTTTGAAGAATTACTACTGGGCTCTAGATTAAACGGTAAACTCTTAGAGGTTTTAATACAATGAGGTACTTAAAATATAGAAGTTGCCTTATATTTTAGATTAAAAGATAAACCTTCCCTCATAGTATGTATAGCTTTATATAATGTCTTGGCCATCATGAATATTCTCAGTAGCCTGGCTAGTACAATATATTGGAACCCAAGTCTTTCTGGTGTCAAAAAGCCCTCCAAATGAGAAAGATCTGATGCTCTATGCTTGACTAGAGTACCCATGACAACAATTCAGTTCCTCCTTTGAGTATCGGTACTGTTTGCTGTTTTTAAAAATACTACTAGATTCTTAAACTGATTCCTTTTTCGGTGTTACTAAGCTCTCGACTGTTGGGCTTCAGTTGTCATTTTCTTTAGAATTGGGTTTGTATTTTTGAGTCATTTATATGTAAAATGGGGCTAAATTTAACTATTTTCACTTAATTATGATTTTGAGCTTCAAAAAAAAATCCTCTGGATTTTAGCATTGTGTAACCTTAAGTTGCTTAGCCCCTGAGATCTAATGAGAAGAGGACTCCCCTTCCACATATCACACTGTGAATTAGGTGCAAGTCTGATAGAGTAGGGAAATGAATGTGGATTTTGGGCTTTTAAACCAGTCACCCCTGGTTTAAATTCTATTTCTGTCATTAGCTATTGTTTGTTCATTCGGTATTTGTTTAGCTGTTACCTCAGGAAAATTGACTAATGTGCCTCAGCCTCAGTGTCTCCAGCCAGAAGCTTTGTTGATCTAGTCAAGTACCTGGTACGCCATAGGTGTTCAGGTGATAAGCGTTGTTAATCAGCTGTGTTGGTGGGCCTTGGAAATAAGGTAGAGGCAGTCAACATGTGATCACTTTCTATCAGGCAAGTTTTCTCTTTGGTTTTAAGTTATTTCTGACTTGATGAAGGAATTTTAACCCTAGCCCAAGTTAGAGGTAAACCTTGTGTCTTGTCTTCTGCCTGAGATGAGAGTCTAGTACTTAGATGCTACTATTGTATTCAACCTTTCACCCCAGTAGTAAGAAAGAACATACTGGGCCCTTTATTCACTTTCCTTATTGGCCTGTAGAATGTAGCTATAATGCTACATCTCATCATCACTGTCATTAAACTTCTTTTTGGAGATAACTAGGTGTATGAAAATTGACTGGTGTTATATGTAAACTCTGATAAGAAAAATACTCTGATCTTGAACATTCAAGTGCCAATTACATGTTAGCCACCAGAAATACAAAGATTGGTAGATTATGACTTCTCCTTTGAAGTAGTCCGTGAGCAGGATGAAATGGTCTTACTAGCATCATTTGGCTCATGCATTCACCCTATGAAACTGTAGCTCTCTGTAGAAAGCATGGAACTGTTCTTCAGACCCATGGTCTGCTTTCTGCTGCTACTTTTGATCTTATTTCTTTTACCATTTTTCTCTTCTGGTTGTACTTAAACCACACTGGCCTGTTTATTATTTCTGGAACTCCCTGAACCCTCTCCTGCCCCAGGACATTTGCTTGTGCCCTTTTCTGCTTTTTTCTTAAATCTTCATGACTAGAATTCCTTACCTTTGTTCAGATTTCTGATGAAATGTCATGAGAAAGGATGTCTCATATTACCCTGTTTAGAATAAAACCTGTCCCTATTCCATCTTCACCTCCCCCACGTCCTGCTTTATTTTTCTTTAAAACACTTAACGTTACAAGACATTGCCTTTTCCCACTAGAAGAGAAGTTCCTTGAGAGACTGCTTTTCCCATTAGAACAGAAGTTCCTTGAGAGAATACTTTGTTCCCTGCTATATCTATATTGCATAAGGACAGTGTCCAGTTTATAGGTACTCAGTAAATACTAGTTAAGTGAATAACTTAATGCTTAAGAAAACCTCTGAACCTGTTTATATAGTTTCAGTTTTGTTCTTAAAATGTTTAACCATAATAGCTAGAGGGTTAACCTTTTTAGTAAATAATTTAAAATACTAATAGCATTACTCCCATGTGTGAAATCATGTGCAAATTTAGACAGTCAAGAAAATATAGTTTTTATCTACTTTTCCAATCTTAAGTTTTCTTTAGAAATACAATATAGTTGTCTTTACCAGCAGAAGTCTTAAACACCATGCATGAGAATAGAACACCTAGGTAATCTTACATTACTTCCAAGTGTATTTTCTAAGAGGTAAAATAAAGTATATAATATCTTATGTGTATATTAAAGGGGATAAAGATTAGTGTATTGATGCACTAACTTTCTGATGTTCATTTAGTAGGAAAAACTTGGCCAACTGAAATCTTTTGGATAGGTAGATCCAACATTTTTTCTAGAAATGATTGTAGCTGTTAGTACAGAGTTTCCACGGTGCTAACATGCTTTAGACTTTCCTTAATTGGAAAAATCTGCAGCTGGACTTCCACTTCAGATTTACAGCCATTTTGATTTTTTATTTAGCAATTCTCCTGATTCCCAGAGTTAGTTTGGTGTTCTCTGAACCTTTCATATGCTAATCTTCAGATTATACATAATTTATAAATAATTGGTTGAGTGATATGCACTAAAATTAGGAACCATTTTATTTTAACATTGCAAATAATGTTCTCAGTGGCTGCCATTGGGGAAAGTCCTATCCTGCTTAATTGTACTTCCTTAGTAGACTGACATAGAGGAATCACTTATTGAGAAATGTTTCACTGTGTATAAATGAATTCCTGATGGAAACTGTTGTTTTTTGTGCTGTACCTTATGTCTGTGGAATGTAACAGGACATGTATCAGGTAAATGCCCAGGTACAGGTCTTACCTACCTGTCTGTAACATCTGTGTCAATCTGTAGGATTATAGCTTGGTATTTGTAATGGTAAAAGCGATTGGTAATTTAAAGATGTCTTTTCCTTGTGTGCTTTTTTTTTTTTTTTTTTTTTTTTTTAAACCATCATGCTGCTCCTTGTAGGCTTTATTGTAATAGTGTTAGAGGCTGGCTATATAGATTGGAATTTGGGAGGGGTAAAAAAAATCATTAGTTTGAAACAACTAGGAGCCATTTATGCCGTAATTTTCAAATGTGACTGTAGTTCTTAAGTCAACTCCAAACTCACTTGCAATGTTACTATTAATGAAAGTCCTACTGTGATGATTTTATATCCTAAATGCCACTGGTGGCTCACAAATCTTAATTTGTTACTTTTTTTGGTAAAGGGTGTATGTGGAAAGGACTTGGGATTTTGCTTAGTAAAAATTTAGTGGGACTGGGGTAGGCACACACCAGCTACTGGGGCATTTCCAAGTTTATGTGGGCCTCTCCCAGCAGTGTAGAACAGATTGTCGTATTTTACATAGATTAGCTAGCTCACAGAAGGAGAAAACTAAGGCTTCATTTTGTTCTTTTTTCAGGAAGCGAAGCTAACAGATCAATTACCACTTATCATTGTATGTGATCGATTTGACTTTGTCCATGATTTGGTGCTCTATTTATATAGAAATAATCTTCAAAAGTATATAGAGATATATGTACAGAAGGTAAGTGCTACTTAAAAATACCTTATTGTAAATTTTACTTCTCACACTCTGGTAATCTTCATTTCCTTTTGAAACTGTACAAAATGGGAGCGGTCTGCTACAGTTCCTGTCAACGTGTACCCGCCCCCGCCCCCTGAATCCTTATTTAGATTAGAATTTTACCTTCATGTTAAGCATAAAACAGAAGGAGTGCTGTAGTTGAAGAAGTTGGGTGACCTACATGCTATTTACTTGATAACCCAACCCCTGAGATACCATGTAGATCCATGTAGATATCCATGTAGACAAGCAGTTTTGCTGTAATGGAGGCCTTTTACTTAGTCTTCCATAGACATTCTGTGACTGTAGCTTCTTTGGATGGACTGACTTAATTTAGAGCAATGCTGAGATAAGTAATTAACCAACCCAGACTTCCTCCTAACTTTTTCTGTCTACTTGTAAATTTAGACTCTTTGTTTATTACTGAATTTTAAAATTGAGCTTAAAAGAGGGAAATGAGTTTAATTTTTTAAACTCCTTTTTACTTTGCTTATTAATAACATAATGGCATTTTTTTTTTAACCATAGGTGAATCCAAGTCGACTTCCTGTGGTTATTGGAGGATTGCTTGATGTTGATTGCTCTGAAGATGTCATTAAAAACTTGATTCTTGTTGTAAGAGGTCAATTCTCTACTGATGAGCTTGTTGCTGAGGTTGAAAAAAGAAACAGGTGTAGTACCATTTTAACCTACACAAATGGGAAAAATTAGTAGTCTCTCAGCATGCTAAGATAAAAAATATGGACTGCCATTTGCCTAAAAGCTATTCAATAAAACATGGATCATAATTCCCTGGGGACACCTAATTTAGAAGTGATAAGCTAGCTATAGTGCTGAAAAAAAATCTGTTTTCTAAAACATTACAATTTTGTCAGACATTATTTACATGTTTATAATTACAGCTGTGTGGGTTGACTGTATGTTTTTAATGTAAACTCTGTAAAAAACCTGTTTTTAGTTGGTATGACACCACTGTTTCAGTAACTAATTCTTCTCTAAATTATGTCAAGTATAATGAGAGAAAAGAATTCCTTGTGTAACTGGGTTAAACTGATTTTTAATTTGAACCTTAATATGAATTCTGAATTTCCAGTAGAGGAGAATATATTATAAGTGCTTCTAATATTTATTATACCATGAAGTCTTTTTTTAGCTGGGACATTTTGATGAACTAGTGTGTTTAGAAAGTGTTGATGTAGTAAATGAGGTTGGTAGATTGGTCTGACAGTGGGGAAGTTACTCTGACTATGAAGAGATAACAAGAAAACCTGTGGGGTTTAATTTTAACCTGAGTTGGCATAGATATTCTAGAAATGGTATTTGTAGAATTTGTATTTGAATATTTCAAACAAAAGTTCTGTATTCAAGGACAGTGGAGATACAGAATATAATACTGATTTTTAAAAGCTTGAGCCTAGTTTGAAATTCTAGGTTCTAACAATTTAACATTAGGAAGAGGTTTCAGTTGAGTCTTAAATCTAATACCTGAAAACAGTCTTGTTTGTTTGTATATTCCAGGCAAATAGCCAGATAGTTGTAGTTAGACAATTTGGTCTTTAAGTTACAAATTATATTGTGATAAACTAGATTCACATCTGAGTCACTAGTCTAGAAGTGCCTTAGCTAATGTTTATTTTTTCATTTGCCATGGCACATCTGCTTGGGTTGCACTTGTTTATAGGATCATGATTTTTTTTTGCCTTAATACAAATTTGTGTCTTTACCCTAGTGGGAGTGTTTGTAGCCAAAATATGACCTACTGTTTTTCCTTTGGGTGCTTTTGTTTTTTATTTTAACGTTTGTTTATTTAAGTAATCTTCTTACCCACCTTGGTGCTTGAAGTTATGACCCTGAGATCCAGAGTTGCATGTTCCACCAACTGAGCCAGCCAGGAGCCCCCTCTAGGTGCTTTTAAACACTTCAGCCGTGGTCAAAAGGACCATTGAAACAAGCTATAGCTTAGTGAAACCATGATCCTTGGTGGAGTGATCGTATGACTTCTAGAATTACTAAGCCCAGAGCTTCTAAAGCCACTGGATTTTGTTCACATTGTGTATTTAGGGTATCGCCCCCTTTGGCTGTAGGTAATGTCTGTTAATTGTGTTAAAATTGTAAGGAACCTTAGATAATCTGGCCTATTTTCTCATGACATTCCCATCTTACTTCCAAAAAAATTTTATCTGAAGTCTGGATATTTTGTCCAGTATAAAAAAAGAACAGTATGAATCTATAATCTCTTTTCTCTGTTTCCTATCTAAATAACATAGCACATAGGACTGGGAGATTCTAAAGAGAGTCTTCTATACCTTTTGTGTAATCATTTAGGCAAATCATTTAGCCATCTCTGAATCTTAATTTCCCAATATGTAATAGAATTGTTGAGAATTCAAAATTATTTATGGGAAAGCATATTATATACCATTAAGGTACTTCTGTAGTTAGCATTGTCATGAGTTGTGTGTGTTTTTTTTTAATAATATATCGTGTGGCTTTGTGTTGTTTTGTGTGTATATGTGGTTTTTTGTTTTGTTTTTAATACTAGGTTGAAACTGCTTCTGCCTTGGCTAGAGGCCAGAATTCATGAGGGCTGTGAGGAGCCTGCTACTCACAACGCATTAGCCAAAATCTACATAGACAGTAATAACAACCCAGAGAGATTTCTTCGTGAAAATCCTTATTATGACAGTCGAGTTGTTGGAAAGTATTGTGAGAAGAGAGATCCACATCTGGCCTGTGTTGCTTATGAACGTGGCCAGTGTGATCTGGAACTTATTAATGTGAGTACTACTAGCTAAATGTGTACTGAGAGAAGGCTGCATTTTTAAAATCCTGCTGTATAATGTTAGATTAGTGAATTTTGAGTTTCACAGTGGCTTTACATAATACAGAGCATTCCTTATAGATGTGTGCTTTTTAAAAAAAAAAAAAACTTTTATCTGCCACTAACTGAATTTAAAGTGGCCAAAATAGTAAATTAAGTCTATATTCACCTGTTAACATTTTAACCCCAGTAGTTTTATCACTTTTGTTCTCATACACTCTCATACATAAACACACGTATACACCATACATACATATATATGTATATATGTACATATGAGAATAAGTTGCATACCTCTTCAGTGTGTATTTCCTAAGACTAAGGATACTCTGTTTTCATAACCACACTGTAGATACCAACTTCAGTCATCTTGACACTGACAGAATAATTTTAAAATCTTATTCTAATTTTGTCATTGCCCCAGTAATGTCCTTTATAGCATTTTTTCCTTTTAGTCTAGGATTACATACTGAATTTTAATAAAAACTTGGTTATGACCTATTCAAGTTTATATGTAAAAGTGATGGATTTAAAAAAAAAAACAATAAACAGGGTATATATCATAGGAAATAACCTTTAAAACTAAAGTTAGTCTATAAAAAGTCTTTACTTTTTATCTTGAAACTAACCTAATCGATCTTATTTAGGTTTGCAATGAGAATTCCCTCTTCAAAAGTCTTTCCCGCTATTTGGTACGCCGAAAGGATCCAGAATTATGGGGTAGTGTACTGCTGGAAAGCAATCCTTACAGGAGACCCCTAATTGACCAGGTAAAATTGGCAAATGTGGTTAAGGCTCATCTTTTTAACTATGAATAAAACCTTTCCCGTCATCATACCCATATCATATTTAACTATGAGAGAACGCAGTAAAAAGTGTAGAAGAAAATAAAATTATACTAAAATACATAATATATTGCACACATATAAATTGAAAACATTTTTTTAAAACCCTAAAAATTGAAGGTTGTTATAATGGTTCTTAAATTCTCCTGGTAGAAGTACAAATATGGAAAAGAATACATTGAAGGTTATTAATTTTTTGTTCCTCTCCTAGGAAGCATTTTTTTCTTTAAATTTTTTTATTATGTTAATCACCATACATTACATCATTAGTTTTTGATGGGGTGTTCCGTGATTCATTGTTTGTGCATAACACCCAGTGCTCCACGCAGAACATGCCCTCTTTAATACCCATCACCCGGCTAACCCATCCCCCACCCCCTCCCCTCTAGAACCCTCAGTTTGTTTTTCAGAGTCCATCGTCTCATGGTTCGTCTCCCCCCCCGATTTCCCCCCCTTCCTTTTTCCCCTCCTGCCATCTTTTTTTTTTCTTAACATATAATGTATTATTTGTTTCAGAGGTACAGGTCTGTGATTCAACAGTCTTGCACAATTCACAGCGCTCACCATAGCACATACCCTCCCCAATGTCTATCACCCAGCCACCCCATCCCTCCCACCCCACCCCCACTCCAGCAACCCTCAGTTTGTTTCCTGAGATTAAGAATTCCTCATATCAGTGAGGTCATATGATACATGTCTTTCTCTGATTGACTTATTTCACTCAGCATAACACCCTCCAGTTCCATCCACGTCGTTGCAAATGGGAAGATCTCATTCCTTTTGATGGCTGCATAATATCTAGGAAGCATTTCTGAGGAAAGTTTTCATTTTAGATACAAAGCTTCTTGGAGGGGTGCCTGGGTGGCTCAGTCGTCAAGCGTCTGCCTTCGGCTCAGGTCTTGATCCCAGAGTTCTGGGATCAAGCCCCGCATCAGGCTCCCTGCTCAGCAAGAAACCTGCTTCTCCCTCTCCCACTCCCCCTGCTTGTGTTCCCTCTCTCGCTGCCTCTCTCTCTCTCTCTCTCTCTCTCCCTCCCTCTCTCCCTCTCCCCCCCCCCCACCCCCCCCCCCCCCCCCCCCCCCCCCCCCCCCCCGTCAAATAAATAAATAAACCTTAAAAAAAAAAAAAACAAATCTTCCTGGAAAAAATATTTATTGAAGCACCTGAGAGCCATACAATTAGCCGAAAATAGAGGAATTACTGAGTCCCCTATTGCCACATCTATGTAGTTGAATTCATATTTACCCCATGAAAATGATGATGAGGAGTGGTTATTATGCATAATATTTTAATCAGGAAAAAAGAAATTATATAATTAGGATGGAAGTACACATGTGGGTATATGTGGATTTGTGTAGAAAAACCATTGTGTGGTGAATTTAAAGGTATTTCTCCTCCATGTTTTCTACTGAGGTGCCAGCTTATTCTTATTAGATAATGTCTTCATAATCACCTTGATTTTCAGTACTTAACTCCCTATATATATATATTTGTCTATATACTCTGCAGGTTGTACAGACAGCTTTATCTGAGACTCAGGACCCTGAAGAAGTGTCAGTAACTGTCAAGGCTTTTATGACTGCAGACCTTCCTAATGAACTCATTGAACTGCTGGAGAAAATTGTCCTTGATAATTCTGTATTCAGTGAACACAGGTATGTTATTAGAAGGGCCCATTGGCTATTTATATTCAGTCTTAAATTAGGGCCTATCAGTTTTGAGAAGGAACAATCAGAGACAAAGATTAGAAAATGTTGTTTGAATTCTGACTCTACTAATACCCTCCTCTTCTCACCTTGCCTTTGAGACAAAAAAACTCTTCATAGCCACAGGGTTTAATCTTTATGACTAATAAACTTTTGAAATAATGCAAATTTTTTTTTCTTAAAAGGAATCTGCAAAACCTCCTCATCCTCACTGCAATCAAGGCTGACCGTACACGTGTTATGGAGTATATTAATCGCCTGGATAATTATGATGCCCCAGATATTGCCAATATCGCCATCTGCAATGAGTTGTTTGAAGAAGCATTTGCCATTTTCCGAAAATTTGATGTCAATACTTCAGCAGTTCAGGTAGATCTTCAGATTGCCTGAGTTGATTTAATATATGCATTGTGCGGTTAGGCCCAGCATAATTGATTGCTTTGGCAATAGAAAAGCAATAAAATCCTAACTGTTTAAATGTAATTGCTATGTGGCACGATTCATTCTGCTATAACCCAGCTTCAAAAATTGGTTGTCTAGGTCTTGATTGAACATATTGGAAATTTGGATCGGGCATATGAGTTTGCTGAACGCTGCAATGAACCTGCAGTCTGGAGTCAGCTTGCAAAAGCCCAGTTGCAGAAAGGAATGGTGAAAGAAGCCATTGATTCTTATATCAAAGCAGATGATCCTTCATCCTACATGGAGGTTGTTCAGGCTGCCAACACTAGTGGTATGACTTCTTACTTTTATGTGTTTGTGACCTCAGAAAATGTACCTAAGCTATGATTAAACTACGTATTAAAATTCTGGTCTGTTCTGAATTTATGTGGGAGTGAAATAACTACATGGTTACTTGTTGAAAACATTTAGCACTCCATCAGTCCACATATAGGGGGGCTGCATTTTGTGAACTTATAAAGGTCCATAGGGAAGATTAATTTTCTATTTTGAAATCTCGTAAAATTCTTTTTAAGATTTTATTTATTTGAGAGAGAGAGCGAGAGGGAGCGCAAGCGGGGAGTGGGGGGGAGGAGAAGCGGGCTCCCTGCTGAGCAGGGAGCCCAATGCAGAACTTGATCCCAGAACCCTGGGATCATGACTTGAGCCAAAGGCAGATGCTTAACTGACTGAGCCACCCATACACCCCTGAAATCTCATAAAATTCTGAACGAGTTCTAATCTTACAACTTTAAGGGAAAGGGGAATTCAGCTATTCATTTGGTCGGTGATGATACAGAAATGTAATAGAAATTTTGCCATTTTAGATACATTTCTTCATTTACATTTGTTACTGTCTATATTGTTTCCTTAGAAAGGAAATTAACAATTCTCATTTACTTGAGTGAAAAGGTGAATGTTAGGATGTTAGTGTTTGGATTTATTTTCTTCTTTATAACTAGGAAACTGGGAAGAACTAGTGAAGTACTTGCAGATGGCCCGTAAGAAGGCTCGTGAGTCCTATGTGGAGACAGAATTGATATTTGCCCTGGCTAAAACAAACCGCCTTGCAGAGTTAGAAGAGTTCATCAATGGGCCAAATAATGCTCATATCCAACAAGTGGGTTTCCTCTTTGGATTTTTTTTCAGAGTGTAAAAATAAACTGTTAAGCAACTTTTTAAATAGTATCTAACCTATCACAACTGATGATTTCCAAGAAAAAATGTTTCTCAGTATTAAATTGAGTTGTGACTTTGGAAAGAGGATTGAGTTTACACTTACTGAAAATGGATTGTGTTTGTTTCAGGTTGGTGACCGTTGTTACGATGAGAAGATGTATGATGCTGCTAAATTATTGTACAATAATGTTTCCAATTTTGGACGCTTGGCATCTACCCTGGTTCACCTGGGTGAATATCAGGCAGCTGTTGATGGAGCTAGGAAAGCTAACAGTACTCGAACATGGAAAGAGGTAATCTCAACACCAGTTTGAGTGAAGAATTAAGATTCTTAGAAATCTCTTTAAACTGATTAATTGAATTAACCAGCCATGTTTATATTTGAGTTTACGTAATTGAAATTTTTGTGATAGGTCTGCTTCGCCTGTGTAGATGGCAAGGAGTTCCGTCTTGCTCAGATGTGTGGGCTTCATATAGTAGTACATGCAGATGAATTGGAGGAACTTATCAACTACTATCAGGTAATGAACAGGACTCTCTTATTAATTGAGAGCTATTGCCACAGATAGTCTTATCTTTAATTGTGTATTTCCCTTATTTAGGATCGAGGATACTTTGAAGAACTGATAACCATGTTGGAAGCAGCATTGGGACTTGAGAGAGCTCATATGGGAATGTTTACCGAATTGGCTATTCTATATTCTAAATTTAAGCCACAGAAAATGAGGGAGCACCTGGAGCTGTTCTGGTCCAGAGTGAATATTCCTAAGGTAACCCAACCTTTTAACATTGTGAGGTGGCTCTATAGCTGTAACTAAAACTTTAAAATATCTTTCCTTTTTTAGGCTTTTTGCTAGAATTACAGACTCCTATCTAAAGCAATTCAGTCTTTCTTACATAGGTGCTTAGAGCTGCAGAACAAGCTCATCTTTGGGCAGAATTGGTGTTTTTATATGACAAGTATGAAGAATATGACAATGCCATAATTACTATGATGAATCATCCAACTGATGCATGGAAAGAAGGGCAATTCAAAGATATCATCACCAAGGTGTGTGGTCTGCTTCAGAACATAGAAGCTTCGAAAGGAGAGAGCTCATTAGGAAATAACTCTTAACTTACATATGGATTTTTCCCAATTTTAGGTTGCCAATGTAGAACTATACTACAGAGCAATACAGTTCTACTTAGAATTCAAGCCTCTGTTGTTAAATGATTTGCTGATGGTGCTGTCTCCACGGTTGGATCATACTCGTGCAGTAAATTATTTCAGCAAGGTAATTTTAAAAACTTCAGAACCTCGGGGCTGTGGCTTAGTTGGTTAAACGATTGCCTTCGGCTTTGATCGTGATTCCAGGTTCCTGGGATTGAGCTCCACATCGGCCTCCCTGCTCAGTGGGGAGCCTGCTTCTCCCTCTCCCTCTGCTGCTCTCCCTGCTTGTGCACTCTCTCTTTTTGTCAAATAAATAAATCTTAAAAAACAACAACAACAACAACAAAAAAACCCTTCAGAATCTCATAGCAAGGAACTAAGACAGATTTCAGTAACTTTCTTTGAACTTTAAGGATATGCTATGTTTGTAACAAAACTCTTTATTTTAAAGGTTAAACAGCTACCACTGGTGAAACCGTATTTGCGTTCAGTTCAAAACCACAATAACAAATCTGTGAATGAATCACTGAACAACCTCTTCATTACAGAAGAAGATTATCAGGTAAAACCTTTTAGTTTTTGCATCTCAAAACTCAGGTTAGGATTGAGTCATTGAGTTGATATGTTTTGGGGTACAAAAGCCCATTATCCCTTAGGTTGTAAGCAGGAGGTACTTAGATGCCTAGGATCTGAATTTAGTTATGTTTTCAGGGTTGATAAATCTGAATTTTAATTGCCAAGTTTGCAGAATTTTGCTTAGATCATGTCTTAGTTAATGCTTTAGAAAAATATTATGGTTATACTTTGTCTCTAAGCATCTAGATTTTAGGTGAGGTTCAAAAGTCTTTGATCTTTTAACTAGTCTGTAAAACTTACTTGGTATTAAGTGTATTTATTCACTGCTTTTCTGGCTCAATAGCATATTAGTATCTGTCTTTTAATAAACTTTGCCTTGTGAAGAATTTTGCAAACACAAAATTAGAGTTAAGGTTAAGCCAGTTGCCTTTTTTCTTTCTCTTACTATCAACATGATGGGTTCAGATCTCATGCTGATCTGTTATTACTAAATACCATGTTTACTTGGATCAGGAGTTTCTCTAAAGCATAAGATCTTATCCTCCAAATTAAAATCCTCCCATTTTCATAACTATGCAAGTTAGTTCTTGATACTGAAAACCATGGAGAAAATTGTACCTTTAGAAATTTTATAGTACCTTTGAGGACTTTATTGTTATATAGTCAAATTGAAGAACCTCAATACTTGTTCAGCTTGCAACTTTCTGGCTCGATGCTTGAATCTAGGTTATTGTATTATAAGACTCATTGATCAAGTTGTATTTTATACATACACATCATATAGCATGTTGGTCAAGTCATATACAGTAATGACGTTTTGATAAAAAATGATGGAACAAATTTTAAACTAAAACTGATTTGGCATTGGATTTTTTTTTTTAAGGCTCTGCGAACATCAATAGATGCTTACGACAACTTTGACAATATCTCACTTGCTCAGCGTTTGGAAAAACATGAACTCATTGAGTTCAGAAGAATTGCTGCTTATCTCTTCAAAGGCAACAATCGCTGGAAACAGAGTGTAGAGCTGTGCAAGAAAGATAGCCTGTACAAGGTGGATAAAGTTGGTGGGGGCAGGCCTATTAAATCAAGTACTAGATCTGTCTGACCCTAAAAATGTATATCTGAAGTGATTATGGTCTATACAAGTATTAGTATATGAGAATTGCCTGTAAGCTCCCACTTGAGGGGGATGGTAATTAAGTCACTTTCTTGATTCTAGGGGTCATCTTCTGTTTATTTCAAAACCTCTGTTTAAAAAAAAAAAGTTACCCTGTCATCTTTTCTTTCAGCAAATTTCAGTTTAAATGATGTGACGGTGATGTTTTTCTCACCCATTGTATTACTCATTTTGCCAGTTTAGTATATTTGAGTTTAATGTTTGACCTTCATCCTTTCCTTTGAATAGGATGCAATGCAGTATGCCTCTGAATCTAAAGATACTGAGTTGGCTGAAGAACTCCTACAGTGGTTTTTGCAGGAAGAAAAAAGAGAGTGCTTTGGAGCTTGTCTTTTTACCTGTTATGATCTTTTAAGGCCAGATGTTGTCCTGGAAACTGCATGGAGGCACAATATCATGGATTTTGCCATGCCCTATTTCATCCAGGTCATGAAGGAATACTTGACAAAGGTAATGGTGCCTCTGGGTGTATTCAGAACTACTTATCTTTAGGATATATAAAATTCCACATGCAGCAGATTTATTTTTCCAAATGTTTTTTCTCTATTAGAAGTGTAAGTCATTTGGTTGTCATAAAATATTTTTGTTCTCCAGAAATTTGTAGTGTCTGACAGAGGACATTGAACGGAAAGGGAATTCAAACTAACTTGTCAGAATGTTTACCCTCCCATGTATTTCTGAGGGTAAATAGTGTTATGCCTATGTTGTATGTTTGGGTTTCTTTTAATCCTCTACTAAAAAGATTTTTTTTTGCCCAAAATAACATCTTCCTCAAATCAGTTCTTATAACTCAGATATCCATAACTTAGTAGTATAGATTCCCTTTTATTTGGTTGCTTCTTGACTTTAATATGTCTGCCTGTTTCTTCTGGGGAAGCAAAATCTATATTCTTTATAACATCCCATTTATCTTTTCAGTATTTTGGTAGCTTAACCCCTAATTTAAAAATGTCATAGCAGGTTAATAATTAACAACATATTACCTCAAAATGCATTAAACAAGCTGTGGGTATAATCATCTTACAAAATTCACTTAATCTTAGTGTCCCTTTTTGGTGTCATAATATTTTTTTTACTCCCTTGATCCTCAACAGTTACTAGCTCTTTTACTGTAGAACATTTTTTTAAAATGGTCCTAAAGGATCCATTTGTTAAAGCAAAATGTGCTTATTAAAATCAGTTTCACATCTGATCTCTTCAGCATGCCTGAGTAAAGGGGGGAAAAAAGGTACTACTAATAGCCCCCAGTATGAATATTTCCTTAGGCTGCCATCTAAGTAGATACCATTGTGTTCAGTTATAACTTTTTAAGAATTAACATTTTCGGTATAAAAACGGCTTGAAGTCCGGTGTAAGAAAATGGTTGCCTTATATTAGCCATAGATGAGAATAGCTTCTTTTCATATGCATAATGCCAACTTAAGAGACCTGGCTCTAAGCTGCTGTTAACCGAAATGCTGTAAGTTTTACTAGCGATAAGCTGCTTTCTATCACACTGACTCTAGCATAAATTCTTCTGCAATAAGCTCTGAAGTTTAAAAAAAATTCTAAATTTTGCTTCCAGTATGCCCTTTATTTTCACTTCTCTCATGCCTTTTTTTGTGGTTAGATGTTGCTCCCCTAAACCTTTGTTGCTGATTCTACCTTTTTATGCTCAATATGGAATTTGATTTTTTTCTAAGCTGCACCTTCTGAATTCCTTTGCAGGTTGATGCAATAAAGGAAAAGGTGAAAGTTGATTCTTTTCCATCTTTAAGTCTGGAGGACTAAGTCTAAGGAATTTGCATGATTTTTTCCCCTTCCTTTTCTACACTGCTGCTGCTGCTTTTTCCCCCCCAATAAATTTTCACTAAAGCCTCTGCAAGTCCCTTGAAACATAACTATAATAGAGCTGTAGGACATTAGTAGATGTTTGCTACTAATCTGCTAATAGGCTTTAGGAAGGGAAGGAGGCTAATCAGTAGTTGGTTCACAGTCTCTCTTAAATATATTATTAAAAACCGAGCATGGTGAGTTTCCATATTAATTCCAAAGTTTCAGGAAATTTCTCTTCCCTGTCAGGGTATCTGGACCATAATAGGATTTTCATAATACTCTAAAGAAATTTAAGCAGCCTCTGGTTTTATTTTGTGAGCTTGCCTGACAGTTGTTGAATTTATGTATGTATATATATGCCCTAAAAGGCTTTTTGGGGTTTTTTTTTTTTGGTATTGAAGGACTGTGATCCAGTTTCTGATCTCTTGATTCTTACTAATTTTTTGCTGAAAGTAGGTACAAGAGATACTAGCTGCTTCCGAAGAGACTTTCCTCATGTTTCTCCAGGTGTCCAGTTCTTATGGTGCTAGTCCATTTTCAAGAAGAATCAAAACTTTTTTGATCATGAGAGTAGCTTGCTATAATTGTTGCTAAGCAACATGGAGTATTTCTGTATATAACAAAGCAATATTAACTTCTTCCTGTAATTAGGCACCTTTTGGTTGCTGCTTCCTTCATTGGCTTGTCTCCATCCCAGTATAAGAAACAAACTTATGTTTGGTATCAGATTGTTGTAATAAAAGGGTGGGAAGGTAAAGGAAAGTTGAAACAAATTTGAAAGAATTTGGGTGGGGGACAATGCCTTGGAATTATGTTGAACCAAACTGGAATCACCATTGGAACTTAGGGCAAACCTGAGTAAAATGCATTGTGTGTGAGGCCCTTCAGCAGCTAGTAAGCAAGGCAGTTAGAAAGCGTGTGTGTGAAAAACAGGTAATTGAACTGCAGTGTTATGCATTGTTTTAAATCAAGCATGTACAACAGTCATTGCAATTACATCATACTACTTTTGAAACTCTTAAAGCATTGCTGTGGGCTGTGTGTGTTTCTTGAGAGCCTGTATAGCAACAATCATCTTCAGATCTCACTTCTTGCTTCAGTACTTTTGCCTTTTTTTCATGCACACATACACCAAAATAACTGACTGCATGTTAACTTTTCCTCTGCAGCATATTGCAGTCTTTGTGGAAAAGCCTTTTACATTATAGTGAATTTTTAATAGTACAGATGGAACTGAACTCAGTGACATGCTTACCTCTAATTTTTCTTTTTAAATCCAAGGATCAGAAACTTTTGTTACAGCTCTTAACAAAAGCTTGTGTTCATAAAAGCCTTCCCTGCTTTTTTTTTGTTTGAGCAATCTAAATTGGGTCATGGAAATAAAAATTGGATGTTGCTGTGCCAGAGGCTGTCCTCTTATATAGAAAAATAAAAATTTTTTGCTTAATTTGATGCTATTCCTTCAGAGTTATTATTTTTTGTTTTTTTTCCCCTATGCCCAACCTGCCTGTGTCCATGCCTGGGCATTGTGATATTGCTAGTTCTTCTAAATCTTCAGTGTACTACTTTAGTAGGACGTCTTTCTTGAACATCTGACTCAGATTCACCTCTGACCTTAATGTTTAAACATGTGTTCACTTCAGATTCTTTTCCTTGAAAAGTCTGGAAATGTATTATGCAGTGGTGACTTTTTTTTGGTTGGTGTTTGATTTTTCTTCTAATAACTTGGAAGTTATGTACACTCATCCATGTACTTTTTTGTATAACCTCTTCAGCTTACTCTTGGATACTGTTTAGTTAGCAAAACCCTATCTGACCCTGATGGCACAGACTTGCTTTAAAGTATACAGCTGAAATAATTTTTAATTTTAAATGCCAAATATTGGGTATTTTGTATGGTACTTCTCCATGGTTGTTTTTAATTTGATATTGGGGTAATTTTTAACACATGAACACTTAGGCTATAAAATAGGAAAATAGCATACAAAAACATAACCAACCCTTTTCCTAGTGTAGAAAAACCACATTTTATCTGAAGGCATCTCAACTTTCTTCTCAAACTTACTTTTCTCAAATTATTCCCTGATAAACTAGCATGCATTTGATTTACATTTATAATATTTAATATGGGACAAAATACAACATACTGTCCTGACCTTAATAACTTATGTGAAGACCCACACACACTATTTTATTTTATTTTATTTATTTTTTTATTTTTTTAAAGATTTTATTTATTTGACAGAGAGAGACAGTGAGAGAGGGAACACAGGCAGGGGGAATGGGAGAGGGAGAAGCAGGTCTCCCGCAGAGCAGGGAGCCCGATGCGGGCCTCGATCCCAGGACCCTGGGATCATGACCAGAGCCGAAGGCAGACGCTCAATGACTGAGCCACCCAGGCGCCCCCACACACACTATTTTAAATAGTTTCAAATAGAAACTATGGGCTACTTTAACCTCTTTAGGACCCAGTCTTTATAGCTTTTCACTGAAGTCTGCATGTCTTTTTTTGTGGTTTTCACTATTTGCCTTTTTGAGGAATATGCCATGAACATTCATTAAAAGTTTTTCCTGCACTCTGCCCCTCATCTCACCCAGCACACTTAGGACTTTGAAAACCACGAGTAATAGATAACATCAAAATTTGAAGTTTTGGTTTTACCTCAAGTATAATGATAGACTTTTAAATATAGTTTAAAAGACAAATATAGTTTAAAATGCAGGTGGAAGTTGTATAGTAGACATCCCATAAGCCCACTGTCCTAATATTTCTCCCCAGTTCTTCACAGAATTAGAGAACCAAATCATGTTAGTTCTAGAATAAATTTTGCAGAATATCTTATTCAGCTATCATTATACAGAAATTTGAGCATCAGTGTAATGGTTTGCCAGGGTCACTCAGCTAGCTTGTGGAAGGACCTGTGTATTCCAGCTCCTTTCTTTCATTTTTTCTTTATTTTTTTAAACATTTGGACTCCCACAGTATTAGTTCTGTCTGATACTATCCACTTTTATTTAGGGTAGTTAGCATGTAATAGCCATTTACTTCTTTGCTTAAATAAAAGCAAAAAAAAATTCTTCCTCAAGGACATTGGGGCAAAAATTAGGCATTCCTACTACTATTTCTACTTCTTAGAAAATAGAGCATTAAAACATGCAGCCTGTCTTTATCTAAAAAGATGGAATATGGAGCCACTTCGTGTCTTAACTTCAGTCCGCACCTCTAACAATTATCAGCAGAAACTGTGCACAGTTGGCAAAAGATAGCTTATTCCAAATGAGTATTTTATTTGTCCAGTCATTAACTCATTTACTTCTTTGAATATCTTTTCCTTTGGGGAGGGAAGTCTTGCCTGGTCATGAGTTCATTATTATTACCTATGATATGGTTTAAACTTCCTTTGAAAAAGTGGTTCCTTCTCGTTATTTCCCTCCCTCAGGCTGGCTGCATCCTAGCATGCCCAGTTTTAGCCTGGCGTGAGCTTTTATGGCATTTATAAATCCCTCCTTCCTGAGGGTTTATAATGACAGTGCTAAAAATCACCTTGACTGAACTGTGAACATTGCCAATGAATTTGAGGGGGCCTGAGAATGTTCTTTAGTCTGTTTTATTTTGACAAAATTTAACATACTAAGGCTTTTCCACTTTCTGCCATAAACCTAGGTTTGTAATACTTGTGAGGTGCTAAGTAACATTACCTGTTTTTCTCCAGGTGGATAAGTTAGATGCTTCGGAATCACTGAGAAAAGAGGAAGAACAAGCTACAGAGACGCAACCTATTGTTTATGGTAATCTTGCTCTCTTTTTAACCCTACAGAAAAGTAGTAGACAGATGTTTTCATTCTTTAGGGATCCTACCTCAAAACAGAAATATAGTAAGTTTCTAAAGTGCCAAAGGCTCATTGATTTAGGAATAATTCTACCATCTTTTTCTGAAAACAGTCTTAAAGCAGACATTGACATTCATTAAGGTCATCTTAAATGCAAAGACATCATAAAAAACAGTCACTTAAGATCATAACTTAAATTTTCCTATTGCCTGCTCACTGATTCGTAAATTACTAAGAAAAAATATTAATGAATTTAGTTTTCAGAAGTGCAGAAGGTAAGAGAACATGCCAAGGCTGTCTTTAGTGTGCTTTTCATAAAGAGTACATTTTCTCTTTAAGTTCTAACCAGGGCAGAGAACTGGGTTATTTCTATTAGAGAACTTTCCAGAGAGAGAGGATCTTGAGACTCTCACTGAATATTGAAGGCAATTTAATTTCTTCTCTGAACTACTTCCCTTTTCCCTTTCACTTTTGGTGAACAGACTCATTTGAACAATGAATTAGAAGGATATAAATTATAGCACTATAGCCAGGTATTCTTTGGAGGAAAGCTTAAAATTGTGACCAGCTTGCTAAAGGAAATGGTAATATACAAATATATTATGACAGTTATCTCCTTTTTATTGTAGATAAAAAGGATTTGGGGAATTTAGAGGACTGTAGTTTTGATAAAGTTGGAGAAGATAAATGTAAAAGTAGATTAAAGATGATTAGATTAAAGCAGGTTAAAAGATTCGAGCAAGATGTTTGACATATTTGAGATAGGAAACACAGTAAGAACAATAATACTTTGGGGGCATCTACTGAATTTGGCTTGTGTTCAGAGTGTTTAAATGGAGAGTCTTTCTAGGAAGTTGAAAATTTCAGTATCAGGGGTTAAAAGTTATTTTTACAAACTGTTTTCCATAAAGAATTTGCTCACAAACAACAATTTTGGTTCACAAAAAAGAAAGACATGAGGTCACTTGTCTGAGAGAAACCTTGCCCTAGGTTTACATTCATTCAGGGGATTAAGAATACTTCTTTTGTGGGGGAGTGGGTAGAGGTATTATGTCGTTTTCTCCCTTTAAATAAGGCAGGTTTTCTATAGGTGGTTTTCTTTATGTGGTCAACCACTATTTAAAATACATAAGAGTGTTGGGGCAACTGGCTGGCTCATTCAGTAGAGCCTGTGACTCTTGATCTGAGGGTTGTGAGTTCGAGCCCCACTGTTGGGGGTTAGAGTTTACTTAAAAATTTTTTTTAAAATGAAGTATGTAAGAGTGTTAACACAGTATTTGAAACAGGTTGTATACTCTAATGTATTCATATCTAATGCATATTTAAATGTCTTGTTATTTTTGTTTTCTCTTAATTAGGACTAGATTCTTTGCTAGATATGCATTAGATTACCATTTCATTTCATTACTATTTAGGTGTGTTTAAATCGGTGGGTTTGTTTTTTTAAGATTATTTATTTTAGAGAAAGGGAGAGATCTCGCATGCATGAGAGCAGGGGCAGGGGGAGAGGGAATCTTAAGCAGACTCCCCACTGAGTACAGAGCCCACCTTGGGGCTTGATTGCATGACCCTGCAATCTTGACCTGAGAGTCAAGAGTTAGATGCTAACCTATTGAGCCACCCAGGCACCCCTTTAAATCAGAAATTTAAATCTAACTTTAAAAGTTTCTCTGTGGGAAAAACACGTCCATTAAAAAATTAAGCTTTTCTATGCTTATTATATTGTCACCAGATATTAATGTGCGAATACCATATAGTGATGAGCTTATTGGCAGCTGTCTTGCTCAGTCATGTCAGACATGCCTGTGAATATTGCTTTAAATGAAATGAAATAACATAGTTACTGTTATAGTTCTGTCCTCTGCCCTGAATTGTTGGCTTTTTAGGCAGAACCCTTCTTAGCGTGATTGTCATGCCAAAATTGTGATAGAAGAGCCACCACCAAACTCATTCTAAGTTGTGATTGTGGTGTTCGAGTGGGTGAGATTAGAGTGTCACAGTCCTACAATGCTAACAATTTCTCCCACCTCCTGCCCCCCCACCCTCTGTCCCTTCATGTTTTTCTTTTCTAGGTCAGCCCCAGTTGATGCTGACAGCAGGACCCAGTGTTGCAGTCCCTCCCCAGGCACCTTTTGGCTATGGTTATACTGCACCACCCTATGGGCAGCCGCAGCCTGGCTTTGGGTACAGCATGTGAGACAGAAAGCTGATCCTGTAGTCGCCTATTTTCGTACTGAAACGTCGTCTCTACCCGCTTCTCAGTTTATAACGGGAAAACAGGCACATGTTCTTATAATCTTTATTTCATGAAGGACTACTTTTTGTTTCTAACTATAAACTCGGATCACCTGTGTTAAAAGCTTATTTCACATTCCGCATCATTTTAGAATTTATTTTCAAAGGGGAATAGTTTCAATGTTTTATTCACTTGGGCTTTTTTTTTCTTCCCCGTCATTCTTTGAAGAACTGCTTAATACTTAATCTGTTGTGAAGAACCTGATTTGCACTCTGTAGTGTTTAAAGAAAAAAAAAAACTCTAATATTGAATCTCTTAAATTTAGTGTATGTAAACAGCTTTCGATATGTATTGTCTAAATGCATTTAAATCTTTGACTTAAAAGCTACAGCAAAAATACTGGTATGTGACCATGTTAAGACTGTCAATGCCAACAAAGACAACACTAATCAGCATATCCTACATTGGATTGCAGTGCTCTCCAAATTATTTGAAAAATGCATTACAGACAACTTGCCTGACTTTTCAATGAGCATAAAAGGCCCTCTAACCTCTGCAGGTTTCCTCCTTACGCATATAGAAAATGCTAGTGTGTTTTTGCTCACTTCATATGTAACAGGTGCCCCTATGTTGTGCTGTATCCTGTGCTTTTTCTGTGGGACCATTCCATTCAGGAACAAAGCGCACCATGATTCCAATCTGTGTGTATTTACTAACCCTTCCCTGAGGTTTGTGTATGTTGGATATTGTGGTGTTTTAGATCACTGAGTGTACAGAAGAGAGAATTCAAACAAAATATTGCTGTTCTTCAGTTTTGTTTGTGGAATTTGAAATTACTCAAATTTAAAATAAATTACTGGACTGTGGAAATATGTAGAATGGCAGTTTTAATTAAATATCTCTCAAATCTAAACCAAAAGAACTATGGTTGTGATAGTTTCATATTGGACACTGAAGCGCAGTACAGTGAGGCAGGAACAGAGAAGCGGAATGAGGATTGGGACATGTGAAAACACAGCATTGCATCATGTGCATTACTGTAGTTAATAAGGTACATGCAGGGCGCCTGGGTGGCTCAGTTGGTTGAACGACTGCCTTCGGCTCAGGTCGTGATCCTGGAGTCCCGGGATCGAGTCCCACATCGGGCTCCCTGCTCTGCGGGGAGTCTGCTTCTCCCTCTGACCCTCTTCCCTCTCGTGCTCTCTGTCTCTCATTCTCTCTCTCTAATAAATAAATAAAATCTTAAAAAAAAAAAAATAAGGTACATGCAGTAGTCTGAAGAAACAGCACTGTAGTGGGCTACATTTTGGCTATCTCCATCATTTTAACCAAGTGGTACCTTAGGTTTTTAAGCATTTCACTTAAATGTACAGATATGGATGTTATATTAACTTGAAATAAAAGTATATAAGCATGTAGTTAACGTACTGTCCCTTATCATGAATAGTAAGGGCCCCCACATTATGAGTACTTTAAGTAATTTTTTTTTTAACCAGTGTTTGAATTCAGCCCTTTTTATGGCTGAGAATATTACTTCAAGTTCATTTCATTGTTAATCCTCAATAGTTAGCCCCCTACCTAGCCTTATATTGCCCTGTAATTCTCTACGTAGGGCAAATGACCATAAGCTGCATGGAAGGCTTTTTTCTTTTTTTAAACTTAGAACCCCTGCCCTTCCCCACTTTTAATCATCCCATCCCTTATTTTCCTATCAAAAATTATAGTATTAGCTGGAAAATTCCTTTTTTGGTTTTTCATACAGAAAACATCTCCTTTTTTGGTTTTTCATACTACAAACATCTGGCTGTACTTAAGTTTCTGCTGGATCTCTCCCCCACCCCCACCCCCCCTCCTTCATCATCATTATCAAAATCATGAGGGAGAATAGCAATGATCCCTGGGAGTTCATTCATATCAGAGTCAAGATTTGTTCTTCTGGACCTTTCCTGTACTTCGAATCAGCTGTCGGTTTGTTTTTGTTTTTGTTTTTCCAATGGAATAATTCATCTCTTTTCCTTAAGTTAAATATTTAGTAAAGGTTTTCTTATAACTTTAAGAAATAAAAAGCCCTGTTTTAATGTGATACTATGTCCAATGATACAGTTTCCACATAAACCATCCATAATGGGCTATCGTAGAAAGAAACTGTGGTGTATGACATAGGTTCAAATCCTGAGCAAGCTGAACCTCTGAACATGTTCCCTCTTGTGTATGTTAACACGATGAGTACTTTCCAGAATTATTTTCAGGAGTATGTTTAAATCTCAATGCCTACCTACCTCAAGACTTGGCAGTAAAGTATTATACAGTAAGTGGTAGAACAAATTGATGATTTATTTTAAGGTGTCTTCCCAAACATTACTCTGAATAGGATGATGGTCTGGGAGAAGGAACTAAAAACAGGGCATTAAGAGTTTTTATAATTCTTTAAATTTAACTGAAATAGGGAAGAAGGGGGAGAGAAATATAATGGGAAACCTCTCAGGAGGTAAACATGTTTTCAGTGATCTTTGTACCATTGTACCACTGTTCCAAAAAATCCGATACTTGTTGATATTCAACATAGACATTGTACAACTTAGTACAATAGGAACACACTGACATGATCTCCAAGTAGGGCTGCTTGAATTTTCTGTAAATTTAGTCATGTGGACATTCTCACACTAGTGGTTCTCAAACTTTAAGATCCTTTTATACTCAAATTATTGAAGGTCCCAAAGAGCTTTAGTTTAAGTGGAATTGTAGGTGTTGATATTTACTGTATTAGTATTTAAAACAAATTTTAAAAAATTCATTTAGGGGCGCCTGGATGACTCAGTCATTAAGCGTCTGCCTTCACGTCAGGTCATGATCCCACGGTCCTGGGATCGAGCCCCACATTGGGCTCCCTGCTCCATGGGAAGCTTGCTTCTCCCTCTCCCACTACCCCTGCTTGTGTTCCCTCTCTCACTGTGTCTCTCTCTGTCAAATAAATAAAATCTTAAACTCATTAAATATAACTTAAACTCATTGCATGTTAAACAATTATGAATCAACCATATTTCTCAAAACAAGAGTGGTATTGCACTGTTTTTTGCAAGTCTCTTCAAAGTTCATCTTCACAGAGGACTGCTGGATTTTCATATTTGCTTCTATATTATATCAGTATATTCCATTTTTAAGTATGTGAAGAAAGTCTAGCCTCATGCAGATATGTAATTAGGAAAGGAAAGGAGTACCTTTTGAGATACTTGTGGTTAGTTGAAATGTGGAATCTGAAACCGTAACACTGAACTTTTTGTGATGTTTTATTAAAATCCATTAGTCTCTTTGAATGGATCTTTTACCTATGCACGAAAAGAATGAAGTCCCAGGGATCATTGCTATGGTTATATCATTGCATTGGTTATATGGAAAATACTGATTCACTAAGTTGTACAGGTCTTCTAAATATTGACAAATATCTTTAAAAAAAATATTTGAGGAACACTGGTATCATCAGAAAAGTCTTGGGAAAAAGTTTTGGGAAACTTGGGAGGAGAGGCAGAAGTTTCCAGAATACTGTCAGTTGTTTTCCTTAAAATGATTGGGTCATTTAATTTACGAGGAAATATCTGCCAAACACCCAGGTCTGGATGGATAACTAGTTTGTCAGTTCTTTCAAGTAAAAATCTTCTATGACAAAAGCTGCTAGTTCACCTCAGCTCACAATTCAGCCACACATTTTTTTCAAGACAACATTCATATTTCAGTGTGTACCAGAAGTGTTAATATTACCCAGAATATTAAGACAAATAGAAATAGTCAAAGGTCAAATTTAATATATTTATTTTTACTGCTTTATCAAGGACATTAAGTGAATCTTTTTTTTTTTTTTTTTTTACCCTGAGTATAGGGCTGTGAAGTACTACTTGTATAGGTAGGGTGCTCCTGTCTTGATTTGTGAAAGGTGCCAACAGCTTTACCCACCTTTGCAAATGGCAACACAGCAAAAAAAAATAGTATTATGAAAATAGTTTTGACCCCATGGAACTATCTTAAGGACACTATGGGTTCTGCAGAATATACCCTGAGAACTGTAAGATTAAGCACCCTGTAAAATAAATACTAAGTACAGGTGAACTAAGAAATAAGCATAACGTATTTCCAGATTTACTAGGATTTGTGTACAATTCATCCTAGTAGATGTACCATGATTTCTTAAAATTACTTGAGTCAACCACAGCAGGCCATCCTGTTGGGAATGCACTGTCTTTGAACTTGGAGCCATCCATCTCTGAGGCGAGCCTCAGAAATTACCTGAGCCAGAATCATGCATTTACGATTGAGTTCTCCTCATCTCAGTTACATGCTGTTGCATCACTTTTGAATAAACATTCTATTTAGAAACAGTTGCTACTGTGGCATCATTCACAGATGGAATTTCTCCTATGCTGTCATGCCAGCATAAACTATAAAATTGACTAAATATTAGAAACTAAGACTGGCTGCAGTAATCTTCAGTGTTCTGCCCAGACTCCACTGACCTTAGAACTTGAAGTTGTGTTACCGTGCTGCTTATGTTGTAGTTAAATGCTAACTAATGCTAACTGTTGAAGTTAACCATGAAGAGTTGGAGCTACTTAACGTGCATCTGTTACCAAAATTCTCTTCTGGCATCATCAGTTCTTAGGGATATACTCAATTTAGAAGTACTGTCAGGATCCCCCTAAAAGGCTTTCCTTCGTGAAGCTATAGCTTTTGGGAACTGGGACCTCCTTCATATTCTGGGCAGCTGGTGTAACAGTAATTACTGGAATTATGATAGGCATATAAAGATCAAAAGGGAAATAAAGGTGCCCTTCAATAATTGGTTCCTTAACTTCTAGGTAAAGAAACAGTAGGATGTTGGGATGACACACTACATTAATTCCACAATTACTGTAAATTCTTCTGTGGGCCCAGTAATACCGTCAAAGTCCATACAGGTCATTTTACAAGTTTTTCAAGGCCTTTGCTATTAGGAAAGTTGGGGGAAGAAAAAGGAATTCTTACAGGCCATGATGTAGAAGCACTGCTGAGAACCTTTGGCCAGTGTGGGTCAGGGAACATGAAGTACTGCACAGGTGGATTATATCAACTGCTATAAAACTTCAATTTTGAGACAAAAAAAATCCAGGTTAGATTGTAAACCCATTGTGTGGGGTTACACCATGATCTGTTAATGTTAGCTATCAGTCATCCGAAAAGTGATGGCAGGAAAACTATAGTTTGCATCCAATGAGAATACCCTTGAACCCTGGTCCTTCAAGGCGGTACAGCAACATTGTCTTGGGGAAGAAGAGCTATTAACACATAGGGACCTGACCATGCACAGGAAATGCTCCCCCCTCCCCCTGCCCTTGTAACCCAATCTTGTGACCAGTTTCTTTCATAAACATTTGTTTCAGCAGCTATCACTTGAACCATCAGGATCATTTAATCAACTTTTTTTTTTTTTTTTTTAAGCCCAAGATAACTGTAACTGAGCCAAGTACATTATAGAAGAACGTGGAAACAGATTTTCATCTCAAAAATACTTAAGCTGGATGGGGGGAGAAATTCAGCTTTTATTGTTAGAATTTAACAGTTTCAAAGCACATCTTGGTGGGACCATCATACAAAATTCCACCTAGTAAAGTTTTAGGTGGCCAGTGACCTTGTCAATTAGATCTGCTGGTCCTGGCCCAATTCCCAGCACAGTTCTAGAACCTGGTGCAATCTGGGTACGCCCAGCATCTTGGATTAAACTTACAGTCAGTCCTAGCATTTTCGCACGGGTCAGTAATTCAACCAGAGTTTCTTCATCAGGGGCTTTGACCACCACTTTGGGCTGGCCACAGTATTCCCATTGTTTGAGCAATTCAGGGTTTCTCCTTTGAATTTGCTTGTAGGCAGAAACAGCAGCATGAGAGC